GTTTTTAACAGGAAACGTTTAAGGACAATTCTCGCTCTGAAACCTGGAAAGACGTGTTGTTGCAGGAAGGCGACTCTGGAAACGTGAGTCAGAATTGGAGAGAGGAGTTTATTGTGTTGGAGCTCTGTTGCTAGCAGATTCTGTATCATATGTACACAACAATCTCCTCTCCCTCATTTCCACCGGTTTTACCTGCAACAACTCACCTGTCATGAGATATCAGAGAAAGAATTGTCCTTGAGCGGGACTTTTTTTTCTTGTTAAAAAAAAAAAGGGAGGTCCTAGAGAAGTTCTTGAAAAGGTTTCCATTTGCAGGAAGCGGGGATGGACAGCTTTTCTGATCTGTGGGTCAAAGTTTAGATCTGAGTCAAGTATTACTCAGAGCAGACTTCACATTAGCGGACAAGGGACCAAGGCCATTTGAAATGAGATTTCTGGTTTTGAGTTGTTGATTAACCACTTCCCATTAAAAATCGCACTTCCATTCCAAGTTGCTGAGCAGTGAGATAAAAAGAGCATCAGGAAAGATAAAGAAGAAAACAAGACGCATGCCTTTGGTGTGGTAGACACAGGTTCAACTCCCCACTGTAACACATCCACCAATGTGTCCCTAAGCAAGACACCTAATTGCTAGTTGCTCCAGAGGCAGTCGTAAGTCGCTTTGGACTTAACTATCCATTCTATTAGTTTGTTGTATGCTGATGTGGTATTAGCCATATGGAGTGGGAGACCCAGGTTCATGAAGAACAGATAGACTGGTTAGCGAGTGTTGAAATGTTAATGATAAAAAGTAATAAACTCATTATTATAAAGTAATAAAAGTTAAGATGCTTGGCAAGGGATGAGTATTTATTTTGCCACCAATCTTTGGCGCACGATTTCGGGACAACATCTGTTTTTGAAGGGGCATGTGGGTACTATACATAATATAAAGTACTGTACTCTTGAATCTTATGTTATGTGTGTTTACACTGCTAACTGTTTTATTGCTTTATTTTATCTAAAACAGAATTGGGTTGGTCGGTGATGTAATTTACATTGCATATCCCATAGAGCGAGCTCTAGTCTGTGTCTCCGTCATTAAATAAACTGACTTGAGAAGTGTTTTTTTTAAATCAGGTTATGTCTTCTCCTATTCAGGCAACATGTTTGTACTACTTGGCTTGTACCACTGTATATCCTTGTTTTGAACTGTAAATTTATTCCTTAAATAAATTGACTTAACAGCTGATTATTCTGTTGTTTCTAACTCAAGTTATACGAAGGACTTCTTCAGTTCTTCAGAACTGAAGAAGTCCTTTGGATAAGGGACGAAACGTCTTCCAGTAGCTTCAACCAAGTCCAGTTGCCCTTCATTTTAACCCTCGTTGGATAACTATGACCTGGATGACTGAGAATCTTCATAGATAACTCAAGCTATGTCTTCCCACATTTAGGGGTGTAACACATACACATGCTACGTGTCTTTTGTCATTATTAAACATACTGTATAACATAAATTACTTCCTCATTACAAAAAACACAACAGGGAAGACATTTTTGCTTCCTTCTTCTGGCTTGTAATTAGAGCCACTTGAATGTTACAGTAAAATGAATACACCTGGACAAGGGTTGGGGTTGTTCCATTGTCACTTTCAAGGAAAACCAAACAAAGAGGTGATTGTGAAACCAGTCCAAAGCCAACAAAATGATGATGTGTGGTGCTATGTGGAAAGACCTGGTGAAAAATGTTTCTTTTTAGGACAGAAGTCTTTTTGACAGATAGATCTATTAATCCCAGCTATAAATGATTGGCACACAGAGATCCACTACATAGCTAACCTCTGAATTGATCAAAGACTCACAGAAATCTTATCTATGAGCCTGCAAATGATTTGAAGTCCACTGTGTTGATGCTGGACATAACAGAGGAAAAGTTATTACAGAGAACAAAGGACATCTGTCTGTGATGATGAATGTTCTTGTATCTTTTTGTAAACTGAATTTTTCACAGCCATCATGGCTTTTTAGAGGGCTTAATTAATTAAATGTTTCAGATCAGAAGCAAGTGATGCAACAAGCGCAATGCACTGTTTGCTGTGACTCCACTTGGGAAAAAACGTCTGTTTCAACATCAACCAATTAACTATATTGTTCATTGTTCAGAGGAGGCATCATTGTTATGACCTTGTTGTGTCAGAAGATTTGATCCAAACAAGATAAATCAGGACAGGTGGAATAATCTTTCGTAATTATCATTTAGATTTTATGTGGGAAAACTGACTGTATCCATCTGTGTTTTGGAGGTTTCCTGTGCTACTCCCTGTCTGAAACAACACACACCCTGACACCATCCAACCATTCTGTACAGCAGCAATCAATTCACAAAATGCACACTTTTGTAGCCAGATTATCTGCTGTCATCCCTTCCAGCACCACCTGGTTCACAGTAAAAGATAGACAGATAAACAGAAGTTAAGGTGATAAACTTTGTGGGCCATCCTCATTCTACAAAGTGTTGAGGTGGATGGGCTTTGTTGCACTAGTGAAGTGTTCTGAGACGTCAGGATCTATCCCTCCAACAGACATAATGTATCTAAGACAGCATTTCTCAAACTTAATCTGTCACAGCCAGAAAAATTCATGCTCCCCCACCCAGCGAAAGTGGATTTAATTTTTGTCAATCATTAACAATATAGCAAAATAGCCTAGCTAGCACTTTTATTTGTATTTGTCACCACATGAATCATTCATGCCACTATAGGTCTTCTCAACATCCACAACCCCCCTTAAGGGGCTCTACCCTCCCCCGGGTTGAGAAACACTGCTAGAGCCTGTACATTTTCAACTGCATTTTAATACTGTCTTGTACTCCTCAGTTACTCAGAAATTGTAATAAGTTACTATTCACTTGAGGTAAGTAACAACTTTCATGTTGCTGTATGCTTTAGCAGATGCTTCAGTACATTAGATGTAGAATTGTTTGCATTGAAAGCTTGTTGCTGGTCGCACAAAGTTTACAATAGATGACAATGTTCTTTGCATCTTTGACTGTGAAACAATAATAGCAATACTTGCAGCTGTGGTAAGAACACCTTTTTCCCTGGTCTCCATTCTTCCTTTAGCATGAACAACTCAAGGTCCGGGGCCACTGACCTGCCGCGTAGTCTAGTAACTACGTAGTAGCATTAGTAGTAATACTAGTTAATGGGAAAAGTAATAATATTATAGTAACACATTACTGCTCAACACTACATTGCACATTTTGTATTGCTCACTGTGCCTTTGTCACCTCTTGTGTCATCAACAAATGTCCAAAAGGTTCTGAGTCATAGTCCTCTTTTTCAGTGTGGGTGCCTTTACACCCAGGTGTTGACATCTTCTTAGGTCACACACAAAGCTGGGCAGTCCCCACCTTTTACACCATACCACACCATTGTGTGTATCTGTATCTCTGTGTGTGTGTGTGTGTGTGTGTGTGTGTGTGTGTGTGTGTGTGTGATAAAATCCTGGCATCACTTCAGACAAGGACTCCACACCCACGTCCATCTAATGAGTGGTTGAGAACCCCCTCTGTCTCTGGCCCTTTAATGCAATCCTCACTTTGAAGAAACACCTGCTACCCCCCACGCCCTTACCTGTTTAGCCAATCTCAGCAGACACACACACACACACAGCTCTCCACACTAGGTCCTGATAAGGGATATTGCTGCCAGATGACAAGTGTGGAGTGACTGCACGTGCAAAAAAGTTTTAATTATTGAGTTGAGGAAGCAGGAGATTCCAGAAAGTGATTGAGGAAGACAGGAGTGGAGCAGCTGATAATGTAATAAACTCAGTGTTTGCTTGTTTCAAATAAACAACCTTGTTTTCAACTGGTGCATTAAAATAAAAAGCTGAAAAACATACCTGTATTATGCAAAATATACCCCTTACATGGATCTGCTGATATCAAAGGAATTGTCGACTATTTGGGAAATTCACTCATTTGCTGTCTTGCCAAGAGTTACATGTGAAGGTCAATACCACTCTCACAAGTTTGTGCTAAGCTACAGCCAGGAGACCGTTAGCTTAGATAAGCATAAAGACTGAAAACAGGATAAACAGCTCTGACAGGAAGTGGCTGTCGGAGTGCACACAAGGTGGACCTTCAATTTCATCTAAGTAAATCAAAAATATAACATATGTATTGTTTAATTATTGTTTTAGTATTTTTGTTTTATCAACAAAGTTTTACAAAGTAGGCTAACAAATGGCTCATCAATCAAAATAAAAGTTTTTAGTCTTCAATAGGCTATGTGTTATTTAACTTTGTTACTGAACTTTATTCATTGCACTGATTTGAGAACGTCTACTGAAAATCCAAGGCAATCTTAGATTTTTCCTGCCTTTTCAACCTGCTACAAAACGTATCCCTCCTCTATAATAAATGAACAGCGTACGTTCATGTGAGGTACTAAGCTTTAAGAATTCCTAGATACAAGGAAGCTTGAAACCAGTTTCAGATTAAGCGGTCGGAAGAAGTGCCCTCTAAAGCTTCATAGTATTTTTGACATGATTCGTGGTGCGATACATTTTGTGGAAGGTTGAAAATGCAGTCTAAAAGAATGTGTCGGCCCATATATTTATATATTGTTATCATTAGATGAGTCCTTCATGTAAACAATCCCATAAAACTGAATACAGCAATTCATTTACTACATCAGGAGGATTTTGTTTTACATTCTTTGGGAGTGTGTGTGTGTGTATGTGTGCATGCGTGTGTGCAGGTAGTCTATTCTTTCATGACATATTACTTTTTTCCCCAGCTCTACAGTATTGCATTCTTATACATCATGTGTTATGCTCATGATGTGATATGAGCTCCAGAACCACCTCTGAGTTCTGCTGCTGCCCACACCTCTGAATGTTGTTATCCTTCCTTTCCAGCCCTCTCCAGGTATTTTTCACCCAAGACTCCTCCCTCTTCCATTTGTATATATACTGCAGCTGACTTGCAGAGTTGGCAACGCAGCAGAAGACAGGTCAGATTGAAACTGAAGTTCATTAAAGCAGCTATTCATCCTAGAGCAGAGACACAAAGAAGTGCAAGATGACCGGTGAACAGCGCTTTGTGATCAGTACCCGCATTATTGGAGCTGTCCTTAGGGACACACCAAAACTCAAGGTGAGTTAAGACCTCAGACATTATTATTATTATTTGAATTGTTAAATATCTTTGCTCTATTTGAGGATGTTTCTTTTCTCTGATCCTTTATTTTTTCTCTCTCCACAGATGTTCATGATATCTGTGTTATGGTCTGATGAGACGGAAGTGATTATCTACAGGTCTTTCCAGGATTTCAAGAAATTTCATGTAAGTCTAAAAAAAAGCACTTTGTGTACTCTACTTTGTGTGTGCTGTTTACATTGTAGCAATAATAATGAATAAAACTTCATAAATATATATCTTCTTTTAAACAGAGGCAGCTGAAAAAGAGGTTCCCTCTTATGAACCTTTTCCGGAAAAATGACAGAGTGATCCCCAAATTTAAAGGTAATATTGTTTCAATTGTGTGTCATCTGATTTTTTACAAAGTATATTTACATGGTCTCATATAAGTAGCTGTGAACCCTTGTTGTACTGTATAGGCAGCCAGTAATTACAGGAATAGCTAGCTAAAACAGTTTAAGAATCTCTTGAAGGTGGAATGAGTTGTTGTATCCTTTTTAAGGCATCCTTTCACTCTGCATTAGTGAAAGGATGCCTTAAGTGCATTAGTGTTTCTTTGTTGAACAGATGTGAGCATTCAGAAAAGGCCATGGAAATGACATTTAGCTATTAGTAAGACAAATGCTTTACAAATAGAGTTCTTCTGCTCAAAAACAAATAGTATTAACCATTTCCTCTCGTGTTTCCAGTAAAGGCCAGGCGAGGCAGCTTCCAGCAGAAGGGATCCAAGCGATCCGTCCAACGCATGAAGTTCCTGGAGAGCTACTGCGACAAGCTGTTGAGATGTGACCAAACTGTGACTCAGAGCTCGGAGGTCGCACAGTTCTTCATGCCCAAAGACCAGGACCTGCAGCCAGACTTCACCAAGAACAGGTAGATTTGTCACATCAGTGTTTAGCTCAAATGATCTGAGAGGTTGGTAGAACTTCTTGATTATTAGATGACCGTTGTCAAAACAACTTCTCTCTCACACAGCATCATGATCCTGCTGTCTGATGATCTGCCTGATGGCCCAGGTGGAGGGGGTGGCAATGTTACTCGCCAGCATGCGGGCAGCATCACTCACCCATTTGTCACCCAGACTTATCGCTGCGTGGCTGCTTATGAGACAAAAGATACCAAGAATCGTCTGTTTAAGGTTGCTGTGGACGAGAAGCTGGATGTCCTGATCAAAGACCCTGCAGGTCAGTGCTTTAGCTTTCGGGCAGTATTTGAACTAAACATTTACAAAATCTTCTCTTGTGAGCCCTGAGCTTCCTTCACACTCATTTCTGTTGTGCTGAATGTATGTTTTATCTGCTCTGCAGGTTGGTGGCTGGTGGAGAAGGAGGATAAGTGTTTGGCTTGGTTTCCTGCTCCCTACCTGGAGTTATGGGAAGGAGAGGAAGATGATGATGCTGGATTCCAACTAGGAGGTGCGAGTGCACTTAAGCACACACTGATCTCATTTAACAAGCTTGATCACATAACTGTACTTCAGTACTTCTGCTATTTTGGCATTAACTGTCAATGCAGGCAAGATGCACATTCTTAGTATGTTATTTTTAAACATAGTTGTTACCAACAACCAACACTGTGGGGTGCTCTTTAACCTCATTTGTGAAGAGAGTCTGTGTATTTGTCCTTATTTTACCATGTCTCAAGATAGATTTTTAGCTGTACAGCAGTGTCTGCTTTGTTGTTTAGAGCTTGTTTTCCTGTCACCTTTAGGTGCCCTGTACTGTGCTGTGAGGAGTTATTCGACTAAGAAGCACGATGAGGTGTCTGTGCCAATTGGCTCTGTGGTTGAGGTGCTGAGGAAGTCTGACGACGGCTGGTGGCTCATTAGGTAGGCTCTCTCAGTCTTTCATATCTATCTGCACTGCAAATCATACCATGTTACCATAGTTTGCACTGTTGAATTAATTATGATTTACAGAAATAAATTCCCCATTCCCTGCAATCCTCTCTTCAGATTCAATGGTAAGACGGGTTACATCCCCTCCATGTACCTGCAGCCATTCAACAACCCACGTGCAGGCCTTTACAGCCTGCAGAGAAAGTTGCATAGCTCCACTCTGAACTTGGCAACCAGCAAGGAAGCTCGGGCTTCTCATCCACACAACATCAACAAAGAAAACAGCCCACAGCTGGATCCTGCTGGTCAGTCCAGAGGAGAGGCCAGTGTTCCAGGGCGTCTCCACAAGGCCCAATCCCTGGACGTTCTCCTTGAGAGGGACGCCTCAACTTCAGCTGGCCGCACGCGCAGCACGAGCAACACAAGCAACACAAGCAGTGAGCTCAGCGTCTACGGCTGCTCCTCCTCAAGCAGCGGATCCTCCTCGAGTTTAAAAGAGGAGGACGCACAGCATCAGCTCCGCCAGCCTGACGTCAGCGACAGTGAGCGCAGCAGCCCTGATCTCAGTCTCTCCGACCGCCGCGGCTCCAGCACTACCTCTGAGAGTTCTGTATCTGTCAAGTCCAACGGCAGCGAGACGTCCTCAGTCGCTCCCAGGGTACCACCCAGACCCAAAACCGAGGAGATCTTGACCCGCTGCACCACCATGACCCGCAAGGCGGCCCTGGCCACCAAGACTCGGCTTCATATTCAGCCAGAGTCCAACCACAGTCGCTAGGGAAATGACACTGTGACACTTTACACTACAAATACTCTTAATCGTGCTTTCTTCTTTATTTATATCTTTTTATTATGTATCCATGTAAAATATTTCACCTGTTAAGTCAGTCAAGTGTGCAGCATTGTTCATATCTCTCATAGTGCTTGTGATAGCAATGATTGAAGAGATAGCAGCAGTGGCAAGACAAACCTTTGCTGGATTCCATAAGATGATAATCTAGGAATCTTCCATTTGATTAAATGGAGCATGGCATCTTAGATTTGAATATTTCACTCAGTATATGAATGTAGCTTCAGTGAAGCATTAGAAGGAGCAGGTTCAAGAAAATCTATCACAGTAGTAAAAATAATAAAAATAAAAATAAAAATTTTTTCCAGCTTTGAAGCCACTTAAGGAGGATTTGAAGTGGATTGTTGAGGTTAAATATTTACACCGTACTGTATTTTAGGTATGCCTCTTTTCTCACATAGTTTTTTAGCACAAATCAGTGCTGAACTATTGACGAATATTTTATCCTAATGGAAATGAACATATGATATCCAGCAGGTCAACATGTAGCGAATAGCAGCAGAAAACATGGCAGTGAAGAGTGAAAGCCTTATGATCAATTGGTGTGATAATCAAGCTGTGAGCAGACAGAGAGTGATTTACCAGCGTCCTTCCACAGCATGTTGATTACCTTCTATTTTAATTTTTTTGCTTATTGTCTGAATATGTTGCTGCCTCATTTTATGTACTGCATTATCGACTGTAAGAGTTCACATGTTCAATATTAACAGGTCAATAAAATTAAATTTGCACTAAAGTAACAGGATGGGCCTCATTCATGACTGTTTAATGGATACAGAAGAGTGTTTGAGTATAACTTTTCAGGTATTTCTACATAAAGCATGGGTCAAGACAGAGACACAGTAGCATCATCATGTTTTTACAAATGTCTGAAATATAGAAAGACAATTCTTAACAGTTTTCTACACTTCTAGCAACATTTAGATTTATTTCTATTTATAACAGACCAAAATTAATATTAACAGCAATAATTATCTCTATTTATATAGGGTTATTCTTAACAAGGTTATGAGGTTCTGCAGATATGAAAGTGACAAACATTAAAAACAACAGTCAAGTAATAGCACAATTATGAGAATATATAAAATGACCTTATGAAAGTCATTTCAGTGTTTTTTAAAGGGATTTAAAGGCAGATACAGAGCTAGCTAACAAATGCAGAATTTCAAAATACCGTAAAATAATTAATAGCCCAGGCTTTTATTTGCTTCATCATTGAACCCACCGTGCCTATTTGGGACGGACCTTTAATTCCTTTACCATACTGGTAAATGTGAATGAATAATACTTTGGTGCTCACTGTTTCTGTAAAATTAAACATCTAACCGATCTGATGATGAACATGTCCATATTGAAAAAAGTTTAAACATTTATATCGGTATGCACAAGCAGCTTAGAAGGACCACAAGCAGGTGACCTGGTGGGCTTTCAGAGGTTTTATGCATCCAAAGAACTTCTATAAAAACCAGACCAGGTTCAAAACGTGTAGCCACACCAAGCCAGTGAAAGGGAGAGGTGTCTAATTGGGATGAGGCTTTTAAATGAAGTTTTACAATAGTTGGATGGAAACAATGACGTTGAGATTTTTGAGGTATCAAAAGTCAAACAAAAATTCTCAGTTGAAAGGTGAGCCGTATCCTTGTTCAATATTTTTTAACTTGTGCAACGATGGAAGTTTGAATCACAATAGATCTATTTAAGCTCATACAGTGCATACAGTGCATGATTACTCAATGTCCCATGAAACCTGGGTCATGATTAATCAGTAATCAGATTACCTGATTAAATATAAGGTTATATATAAATGAGGGAATATTTTGTGGTTGAATGGTGTTCATCCCTCCAACAGAATCCCACAGACTTGGCAAGGAGCACTGAACCTGTTCTGGAGTGTTGTGGTGGCCTGACTCCACACGAAGACACTTCATGACGGTTTTTATTTTAATTTGTCGCTCATCTTTACTTGATGAATCGCTAGATTTCCTCTGTTCAGTGTTCAAGTAGGATTACACATAGGGATTAGCCTACTTTAAGCAGAAAGGTTCCATGAAAGAAACGCAGTGCTATTTGCCTCCGTATATGTTTTTATATACAGTCTATGGTATATGTACGTATTTCTGTAAAAACGCAAAGCTTGGGAGGGATGTGTCGCAGACATTGATTGGTGTTTACAGTCGCCAGTAGTGCCAAATGTATGTTACGCCCCCTCCCTGTCATGCAGACTCTGTGCAGACTGGTTCCAGCTATCAGCAGGCCTGCCCACAGAAATGACTGGGCCCCTGACAAGATCCAGTAAATGGGCCCTACGCAAATTTGCTTTACTCATGTCAGTGCATGCTGTGCTCTCTCTATCTCCTATAAACACATACATGGCCTGCCGCATGCGGTGCACTTTTAATGTTTTGATGTTGTGTACAGTAAAAATTACTCATACCATGTTCAGGAGAGGAGGTTTCATTATGAAACAGGCTATATTTTACTAAAGCAACATTTTAAAAAATGTAATTTTTTTTAATGGTGTGTTTTTTGGTACAAAATTAAATTTGGTGATCTTGCTTATATTTAGAATGAACATTATTAGTGCTGGACTGCAAGGGCCCTCCTAGTAGTTAGGCCCCAGAATGCTTTCCCGTTTTCCCCCCTTATGGACGGCCCTGGCTATCAGTGAGTGAACATGGCAGCAGGACCGGAACAAATCGAGCGCAGCCTCCGAGACCGACAGAGACCAGTTTGACCACTGGGAATCCAGTACTGAGGTGGTCTTCTTGCTGGGTTTGGTTGTTGGCACCCCGGGGCTGAGTAAGCTAATACAACCGTTAGCAGTACGGCTAACAGACCGAGCTAACTAGCCGCTGATGCAAGCAGATAGGCAACAGTTAGCGGTTTAGCAAAAAGTAAAGCTATCCATCGAGAAGTGCTGTGTAAATCAGCTCAGTACTGGATTCTGTTGCGTTTTTTCAGATTTTGAGAAAGGAGAGGCTCAGTCCAATGAAAATTTACAAGAAGATTTAATTACAAAAATTTGTGAATAAAGAGATGGCATTACAGAATAAACAAATAACACTGCAGTGGACTGAAAAGTTGGTCCTCCGTTCAGATTTACAGCTTTCAGTCAAGTCCTAACAGACTGAGCTAAAGCCGCCTCCAGCAGTGGACTGAAAAGCTGCTTCCCAATCAAGTACACACCCGCTCACCCGGCTCCGGTTCCCAATCAGGCGCCGCACCTAGTGCAACTTAAACACCTTTATACAGTCTATGGTAACCACTAACACTCCCCTGGTGCTGTGGGCTCCCAGTACGACAGAGTAAGCTAATTTGACCAGTGGATGTACAGAATAGCAGCTAGTTAACTTTAGCTGTTAACTGACTTCTGCAACAAGTAAAGCTACTCTGAATCACAGAGTTGAGGCAGAGCAGCCGGGGGACATCAGAGAGAAAACTAGTATATATTTTCTCCATATTTCTAATATTTCTCCATAAAATATGATCCAGTTTCACCAAAATCAGTGAAAAATTATGTGTTTTTGTACAGTAATCAGTGTGGCCCGGTCCCAGAAACACTATGCTTCAGCAGCGTCATATTGAGAAATCTTTCCATTAAGTGCAGAATGAATCATCAACATTTTAAAATGGTTTTCCTAATGACAAACTGTTAAATATCACCAAGAATACCTACAAAACACATTATTTTGAAAAATAAAAAACATTTAAACATGGATTTTAATTTCATGGGGAACGAAGATTTTGTATATTTTTCTAATGCATCATTGACACTTCTCTTGTCTTAATTTGCCTATTTGGCATTGAAGTAATCCAAAAGGAACTAAAAGTCATCAGATTACATTACTTTTATTTTGTGGTACTTGGATTACGTTACATTTTTTAACAAGTAGGCCTAACTACATTTTTTAAGTAATCCTCCCAACCCTGAGTATAAATTGGCCTTAATGAATCCAAACCACTAAAGGTGCCATGGTAACAAAATAATCTGTGTAATTTACTTCATCATTGTGGCATGTTAGCATGAAATGCCGGAGTCTTATTTTGTTATCAGTTCAAGTGGAATCAGAATATGCAACATCAATGTGTATTAAAAAAATGGCTTCTGGCTGTTGATATTCACACTTGTCCTTGTCATTTTCATACAGTTTTGCAAACACATTTCTCAAATCGCAAATCATTGGATGGAAAAAGTGACTTTGAGATTTATAGATTTTAAAAGCCAAACAAAAATCTTCAGCTGAAAGTTGAGGCGTATCCCTGTTCAGTTGATTAAAAGTTGTGCAATGATGGAAGATTGAGCCACAAAAGAGCTATGAAAGCTCATGCAGTACACAATTACCTATTGTTCCATAAAACCTAGGTCATGATTATCCACTAAACACAATACATACAGCCAATGTCAATACATTACATTTAGGTCCGCCTTTCTCTGCTTTTATCTACGAGCACAGTGAGCAAATCCACTGGCCTACAAATGAGTGGATTGTTTTAGCTCTTATTAAAAATGTGTATATAGAAGAGATATTGTTTCATAACTCTATATCCTGAAACTGAATTGTTTTTCAGAATAAAAATAATAATAATCTTGACAATAAATTATTTTTACAGAAGATTTTTACAGGAATTCAAATACTGTACTTCAAGTACTTCCTATTGGCCAAGCCAAGTAAAAGGAAACAAGTGTGGTAACAGTAACTCCTCTGTTTACTTTAGGAGGGGCAGTTATCCAAAGAAAAGATTTATTGTGTTTATAGACGGACAAGAAAACCTAAGGTGAATAATTAGCCAGAAATGTGCTGCTGATAAAGCTGATAGATAAAGATAATGAAATTCTATTTATATAGCAAAACAAGTTACAAGTGCTTTACAAACCCAGAACAACAAGATACGTTACCAGATAAGTGATGATTAAAATAGAATAGAGTAATAATAGCAAGTGAGGTATGAATTACTACAACACAGTAAGGTAAAAACGATTCACATTAAGCTATTCTGATAAAGTGTGTTTTAAGAGACACTTTAGTGACTGCAAGACCAGCAAAACAGTTTTATGGATATGGAGTGTGTGTGTGTGTGTATGTGTGTGTGTGCGTGTGTGCGTGTGTGTCATATTTACTGTAATCAGGAACCTTCAGGAAGTGGCACTTTCCAGTAATGTTGATGAAGATTAAGAGTGTATTTGACAACTTATTAAATGGTGAACACTGCTAGCACTAATATGTGTAGTTACCTTTATTGCCATTAAAGATAAATTGTCCTGCTATTTTTATATATGGTGAAAGGTTGATGTATTTCATTTGTTTTATATAAATATATCTGAGGGGAAGAGAAGCAGATGATGACCATGTGCACAGGAAAAGAAAGGAAAATATTTATATATATTTGACTGGACAAAATCCATGCAAGTCCTTGATTAGTACTGAATATGTAAGGGAATATGTAAAGGTTAGTATACTTGTTGCATAACTTCCATTTCTCACAAATTCCAGGTTCAAAACCAATTCAGATGGATTTTGTTTTATTTATGTAAGTCTTCTTAGTCTTGGAATTGAAAACATCCTTTCTTCCTGAAACTGCCTTTGCACAGCAGTCTGGTCTGGTACTAAATGACATGTGCTCAATATGAGTACTATGCTTCTGGTGTGGTGCTACAGCAACTATCCAAAGCTTAGAACTCTGAAGACAAATAAATATTAGCTTTACCCAACCAGCTATGGCTGTGAAAACGTAACCAAAATGTAGACAGTAGACTGAAGATATACAAGCTTGATTTGACCATAAAGACATTTGCTTTTGCTTCTATTTAAGTGTCTTAGACCATTTGGTCTTAGTTTTTCCAAATTAAGAAAATATTATTGACGCCACATTCAGACCACGCCAGGCGACCAAAATTGAAATTTCCTTTTCCCATCACAATTCCTAGACAGCATCCTTGCAGCTTTATTCATATTACAACTACAATTAGACTATTGTTATGTGCCAAGAAGAGCCTTCTTCCTTTTTTTTATAAAAGAGGTCAAAGGGCAATGTGACATGGATAGATGATATCTGATTTCTTTGTGTCTCACGAGAATCAAACGGGCAGGGTTTTTTTCTAGCAGTGCCAAGAAGAGCCTTCTTCCTTTAAGGAAGTGTGTCTAATATGGTCCAGGTAAGTAATGGGTAAGGTCATCAGCAATGAAAAGAGTTACAGCATTTGTTGCAGAGCAGTGTCATTGTAAGTGCTGTTCCAGGAAGACAGGAGAATAGGCAAAATGGAAGTTATGAAAGTATACTGACCTTATTTTAAGGTCACACATTCTGTAATTACAGTAGATTGTCCACATAATGGTACAGATCATTTCACCAGAATGCAGAAAATGAAGTGTTCATGTGAAAATGTGAAGATTTCTGGGCCCCCACTGTTTCAGGTTCCTATGATCCTGGTTAGCGTGTAGAAGGCGTGCTGTAGTAGTCCCTGCTAGATGAAGAGGTGCTGCCCTCTATTGCTTGCCTGCAGACTCGACATGGTTTATGATCAGCACACATTTTCAGTTTTAGGTTAAATTAATGTTTATCTTCAACACTTTCCTAAATGTACCTGCATACACAATCAGTAATTTCTAGCCACAGTGCCAGCAGTGAATTTGCATCTCATGCCTGTTCCAATCAAAGACCTAGTGCATGTCTAATGAACCACACTGCAAATAACTCAACAGTATCCCACAGAGTGACATGTGCACCCATAGTCATGCGCACCCTCCCACACATTATCACACTCACACTTCTTTCCCATGTGATTTCATTTTATGCATGGAGACCTTTTCCCTGGTTTTGCATTTGGTACAGGCTTTTTTTCCCCCCACCGTGTTCTGTGGTCGTTTTGTCGAACTGTTCATTTGAATCTTTGCTTTCCGTCTTCTGTGTCATTGAATTAGGCCTACTTCTTACTTTCAGCCAAACCTTATCAAATAATGTTATTTACAAGCTTTTAGTCTCGAAACAAGTTCAAGCAATTGCTAAATGTCTCATGTTATTACATTATAAGTTCAAATTATGCAAATTATATTAATATTATTTAGTTCAAGCGATCCCTCCCTTTGCATCAGAGAAGTTTTGCAGTAAAAGCTGGTGAGTAAGCTTTGTCTTGTGGTCTGCAGGAGCATGTTCAATCCAGCCTGTAGTTGTTCTTTTCTACATCTTGCCTGCAAACTGAGGTGGATGCTATTGGCACTGATGATGACATTGCCTAACATCCAAAATCCAAAATAATGAAGTGATCTAAGAATATAAGCATCATCCTCTGTGCTCCGTACTTGATGACTTTGGAAAAGAAACTGAATGTAGCCTTTTTACTGAATTTGAAAAATATATAAGAAAAGAAATGCCTGCTTTAGGTATTGCCCCTGATTATTGTAACGCCTTGTTAATGATGGTTTTCAGCTCTATCACTAGATGGTTTCTTGCTTGTTCATTCTAACTAGGGACAACCAAGCAGCAAACCAGAGGTTTGGGGTGTTTGATTTAAAGATCATTTTAATTATTAAGTGTTTTGGAGATTTTCCATATGAACACAACTAACAAAAGAACCAGTTTAGTCCCGAAGCTGACAGCTAAGCTGAAGCTAACAGTGAGTGAGTGATATGTTTGTATGAGGGCTAGGGTTGGACAGTGCATGATGTGTCAAATCATAAGCAACAGATTAATAAGAGCTACACCAAAGTAAAGTATTAATGAAGTATTAAATACACAGCAATATTTTGTTTAACTGATTTTTTTGAGACACTGAAACTGAGAGGGAGGTCCATGATAATGCTACACATGAACGAATTTGTACGTGCAGGAATGCAGGAAACGTTTCACAAGCGTTTCATCTTTACTGTTTGTTTTTTTTATATAAAAGAGGTCAAAGGGCAATGTGATATGGATAGAGGATATGTGATTTCTTTGTGTCTCACGAGAATCAAACGGGCAGGTGTTTTTTCTAGCTTTTATTTAATAATTTCATCGTCAAAAGCAGCTTATACATGTATATATAAATACACTCACGCACGCATGCACGCACACACGCACGCACACGCGCACGCACACAGACATTCTCATAAGGATCATTCACATGTAAACATTTGCAAAAGGTATCACTTGTCAATGTTTGCAGTAATCTGTCCTACAGCAACTTTTGTTAAGTTATTCTCTTTTAAATGGTACAAAAAACCCACAGACTCTCCATTACACCTACACGTACAGCGCTAAACATCAGACCTTTAGAAACTCTTGGTTCAGACACAAACGCAAAGATTAGTAAGCCTGTCTAAGAGGTACTGAAGTCTATAGAGGCAAATGTCACTTTATGTTGTGCTTGGTGAGTCTCAATCCTCTGCTTCTTCCCCGTCTCTCACTGTGAACATAAAATTATAATAAATCCATTTTGCAGGGTCATCTCTCCTTTGATCATCAACAGGGAGGCACTAGTTATTTTTTGCCCCAGAGATCTTCGGTGGGATCCTTTCAATGGACTCTGTGGAGGAGCTTTGGGACTGCTGGGACTGAGACTGAGAGGGCAGATGCTGCGATGCTTGAGGGGTGTCCACCCCAGAGTGCATCAGGGGTAAGTAGATGTCATCCATGTTTGGAAGTACAAACACTTTCTGGAGAAAGAAACAACATAATTGTGAAAGAAGGGAGGGAAGCTGGGAAGACGACAGCATTGTACATAGTAGGTGCTGTTATTTTTATTTACCTGGAACTCATCCTGCAGTTTCTTTTCAATCCACTCGGTCACATGACAAAAAGTCACCTCCCTCTCCCCTAGTTTGGGACGGACATGCAGATCCAACTTGGGAGGCACACAGAAGCTGTACCTGCAGAGGAGATCATCACATCATCAAGTCTACCGCATGCATAGTGAGATTGTTTCATTGCTGGTTTCAGCCACATTTCAGTCTCATGGTGTTATAGTACTTGAAACAGGATTAGTGCTCAACTAAAATAGATTGGTAGCATAAATTAAAGGATATGGAGATGATGTGAGAAATGTGAATCACACCACTGAAACATGCAGCAGAACAGTGGGAACTGATTTGTTTTCTAATTAGCATCGTTTTTTAAGTTGCAGTGCATTTACGCAATGCAGCATATAGTCTGAAATAAGTACGTTAATCTCTATAGATTAAATAAGATAGGATGATATGTCAACCAGGCTGAAATGTCTGCTAATATCATTTTATTACAGATATCATATATATGTGTCAGCCAAAACTAGCAAGAAACTGCAGTACAAAAATGCCAAACTAGGTTTGAGATAGTTTAAAAACAGTGACAGTAGATCTTTACACTGTAAAATGTTCTAAAGAAAATACTACAGGCTGGTATATAATTGTCAGATTTTTTTAACTCACAAACATCCAGTATCATTCGGGATATAATCCAGAGGCACTATAAATAGCAAGAAATCTAAAATTCTAAAAATGACCAAATATACATAGAGCAAAAAAATCAAATATTGATGGAGAAATCATTTGAACAACTTTCCAAACAATTTAATTTACCCACACATAAAAAAAATTTCTACAATTGAGAAATTATCTTCAGAAACACAGCGAATATATGACAAGTGACATACAAACTAAAGAAAGTTTTTTGCAGTTGACACAGGCAATGAAAAGTATGCTAGGTAAATCTGCAAACTCCAATGTATATGTCCAAATAATCAACAGAAGAGAGACGGACACCACAAGATGGACACCACAAGCTAAGATCTTTTTTCTTAACTTTACTGAATTAAGTGAGAGATGATGTGGAGGTTGAACAAGTAGTTTTGAGAATTTCAATTCTGATCTGAGAAATGTACTAAAGCGAGAAAAAAAGTGTTTATAGCTTCAGTTGCTCTACTGCCTCAGTACTTACCATATTCTGTCTGTAGGGGGTGGTGGGATGTTGACGACCAGAGTCCCTGACAGCTCTTGAACCTCCACAGTGAGCAGCAGGGGCGTGTTGGACATCTCCTCAAACTTCTTCTTAATGAACTCGTTCTCCGTCGCCTTCTGGAAATACTTGGACTTAGCGATTTTGTCCACAAACCTCAAAATCTTCCTCCCAGTCTTTCCACCCCCTGTCCTGTAAGAGATTAGATTAGAGGAGAGAAGCATCAGTATGATCTTGCACTTGTGAGTAGATTTTTTAGTGCTCAGATGCTAAAGTCAAAATCTGAGGAGAGATCTATAAGGAAAGCGGCAGCCATCTGGGGTGTGATATCAGTACAGTTTATTTTCTACTTGAAAAATGAGCATTCACAATACAGAAGGGGAGAAGTAACACTTCACAGTGTTTGTTAGTAAAAGTTGCACCTTTTCCCTTTTTAAGTAGCTGTTAATGTAAATGTGATTTGACTTAATTATCACACAAATGCAGCAGCTGATGGTCCATTTTCATTTGCAATACTCAAAAAAAGTATTTTTTTTAACACATCCCTACTCTATATGTAATAAATGGTAAATGGACTGTATAATGCCTTTCTAGTCTTCAAACCACTCAAAGCACTTCACACTACATATCACATTCACCCCATCCACACAAGCACACTCACACACCAATGGCACGGTTCAGTGCCAAGGGCACTTCGACATGCAGACTGGAGGAGCAGGGAATCATATTTACCCATCATTAGCTGATGTGGATCCCTTCTCCCCAACTGGTCCCTGAGGCTCAGAGAGAAGCAACTCTTCCTCATCAGATGAACCAGCACTGGAGGACTCCTCATCGCTGTCCGCCAACACGCTGAAGATGGGTCTGCAGCTGGGAGGATGTCCAGACAGACATTTCAGGAATGGGCAGATAGATGAAAAAATTAAGCTATGAATGGAAGCATCAATGCCAACCATTTTGACATTAAAAAAGTAAAATTTAACAATGCCCTAATTGATTTCCATGGACTTATGGACAGATGCAGGTGTAAGCTCGAATCTTGCATTTAGTGTTAAAGTCTAAATTTTTTGAAAAGATTAAAAAAGTCTCTGTGTAAATTTTCAGATGTACCACAGACAGCTAATGTAAAGCTCAGCCTGGGCTCTAATCCCTACCACAGTGGGTCTGTGACAGGCAGGTCTACGCTAATCAGTGTAATGTTAAGCTCAGCTCTGTAGATGAGAGACTAGAGGGATCAGGGGACAGAATGAGAGGTGTGTAGGTGTGTGTTTGTGTGTGCTCAATAGAAATGGTGAGAAAGGGTTTTCTGTTATTAGGGCTGTCACTCTTGCTACTTGGGCTCGGTAATATGACGAAATCCACCTTGAGATGATAAAAATACTCAAGTATTGATGATACCATCGGGCAGGCAATTAGAAAGGCTACGGAACTGCATTATAGGGATTGTAGGCTCCGGCGTTTTTGAAGCATGACTAAGGACTAAAAGTCAGGATAAATTTGCATTGATTTTTACCCTTTACAAAAAAATCCGTTTCTCACTTCAATAAAATCCCACAGCTTTATTAAATGCGATACTAAATCACTGAAGTACCTCTTTAATATCTCTGGGTGTGCCATTGCAGATAATAAGATCTCATAAACCGCTGAAGGGTGAGAACCAGAGGGGCTTAAGTGACATCTGACCAACTTTTCAGGAGAGCCAAACCAAAAAATTACTAAACCTTGTCCTGACTTTGTTTAATAAGTTCAATCTTTAGTATTGAACTTTCCAAAAAAATGTGGATGACAATTTAATTAATTAATAATATTTTCAAATTTGTTTGGATTAGCTACAAACAGATATGCAGTTATTTTGTCCATAAGATGCCGCTCAATTCCAGTGAATGTAAAGCATCAAAGTATATACCAATATACTATAAAATGACATATTGTGAAAGTCATTGATACTGATACTAGTAATGGCTTCTGCTGCTACTAACACAAATAACAATATCACATTATTTTAATACACAAAAGGAGATTTTAAAGAGTCAGGTGTTAATAGCACAAAAACTATAAAGGTGGATAGTTGCGTCAGGTGTGTGTTGTGTGTGTGTGTGTGTGACTGGTGTGTGTGTGCATAGTGTGATGCCTTGTAGTACTGACCGTGGGCTACCAGTTTCCGTCGTACAGTCTGTATCCTGGACGCCCTCTTTACCCAGTTTGGACAGGTTGAACTTAGTCTGAAGTGTCATCTGCAGGGCACCAGTATAGACCAGCTGCAGCTCCACCCACAGTCCTGCGGGGGGCAGCACAAAGAGGTCAACGCCAGACCATCAAAATTAAACAAAGCTCATACACACCGCCTAATCCAGACACACACCGCTTAGTGAGCGGATTAAACAGCTTTCACTGTGATTATCGAGCCTTGAAATTAAATTTATAATAAATTACAACGGATTATGAATCCCCCTTTAGGAGCTGACACGTGGACTGAGCAGGGAATAGCAGGGAAACTATGAAAACAGGATCAGTTGTTTACAGGCGGTTGTGTAACAGCGAAGTGGGCGGTGGGGACATAAAAAATCATGAGGTCACACATATACACGGAGACACATGTTGACACACTTTAATTCTCATTACAAGTGTTGTCTGTGAGATTGCCTGATTTGTACACACAATCACACTCACACACACAAGCCAATATGCTCTAAATGTTGAAGGCCATGGCGTAATGGCTCTCCTGCTCTGTGAGATTACAACAGGATAACAGCGTCTGATCTGATGTTCTGCAGCACTCAGCTGTAATCACATAAGCAACAGGTCATCTTCTCACTTATCTCCTGCTGTTACAGTGTATGTGTGTTTGCATTTTGGGCATCTGTTTTTTGCAGTGTACCAGGTCTGTACTCACCTCTGTGGTTGACCTCTGGTCTGGAGGTAGTAGTTATTTGTGGCATAGAGCAGCCCATATCCAACTCAGTCAGAGTCAGCTCATTCATAAAGTAAGGCAGCTGTAAAGATACATGTAACAGTTAACATTTTCTGTGATTTTAAGCTGACACGGTAACTTTCAGTAAAACTGCTCACACCCTGATTTTGCTCAGTTTCTTCTGGATCTTATGGGAAACCACATCGGCCCAGTGCTTCTCTCGCAGGAAGTCCCAGAAGATTCGACCAATCAGAACGTTAGCCCATGCAGTCTGGCTCGTCCCAGGGTGCTCTGCTAGATCACAAGTACACTGTAGAAAAGACACCAGAGTGAGAGATAAAAACAGAGGTGGGAGAGTAGAATCATTTCGTAAATGCTGGAAAATTCCCTGCTAGTTTTTCCACTGACAAATATCGATATTGTGTTTTTTCCCTTTTGATATGTACTGACCCACTTTATTATTTATAACATGTTTAATGGCTAATGCCATTTTATACTAGTTACGCTAGTGTCACTTTACTCTCTGTACCTCCACTTGTACTCTTGATCCAGTGTGTAGCAATTACCTCAAGATTGTATATGACAGCATGGCTCCCTCCATTCTAAAGATAACCGTCAGAAACAAGTATCTTGAGATGTTGCAACAGTGAAGTCTCTTTTCAAGAAGCCAAATCTAGATGAAAACATCCTTAGTAGTTACAGGCTAAATCCAACCTGTACTTTATGAGCAACTTGATAACTTTTTCTATCAGAACAGTACTCCAATCTACTTTTATATCCAACCACAGTCCAGAAACTGCCTCAGTCAAAAGGTAAATGATCTTGACTTCAACTAAGTGTCAATCCTCATCCTTTTAGGTATAAGCTCAGCATTTGACACTTCAACCAAACTATTTTAATCAGTCGTCTTGAAAGATGGGTTGGTGTCTCTGACACTGCTTTTAACTGCTTTTGATCCTACACAACTGGTAGAAGCTTCTATGTTAGTCTGGGTGATCATGTATCTGTGAAACATGCCATTTGGTATTGCACAAGGAAGCTGTCTTGGTCCCTTCCTATTTTCCTTACATATGCTTCCATTAGGTTACATAATCAACTATTTCAATACAAATTTCCATATCTACACAGATGACACTCACTTATATATTTCTGTTGAGCCAACAAACCCAATTGGCCTATCGTCTCTGACTGCCTGTTTCGCTTCAATACTGCTGCCAGGTCCTAATTGCAAGAGAGAGACACTTTTTAAAAGGCTTGGGAACCTGCCTCCCCGGACCAAATTAGAAGTTCAAAGTCTTGGTGTCATCTTAGACTCTGATATAAGCTTTGAAGCCCATATTAGCAGGGTGACCAAGGTTGCTTCTTAAAAAAGCAGGAAAATTTGCTTCATGCCTTCATTAAAGCTGGGGTAGGCATTGCTGGTGAACTTGCAAGAGACAGCAAAATCTTGAAAGTATCCAACCGAAAAGAAAAGGCTGGCATTTAGTTATTATTATAGTGTTTTATTTCTCTCTACTACCATTTATACTACTTTTTTCTTTTTATTTTATTTTTAATGACATACTTTAAAGCACTTTGAGCTGCATTTAATGTATGGAATGTGCTAATTTGCTTAATTGTATCTGCAAGCATGACTTACATTTCTTTTTATTGTGGGGCTTGTCTCTGTGCTGCTGGCTCCAGTACTGGAGAGAGGGGTCAACTCCTCTGTGGCCAGGAGACGAGCCATGTAGCCGGGGTAGTCTAGCAGTGAAAGGCCCCTGGTGCTACTGGAGGTCTGACTGACATGAGCAGCAGGGATGCTGGGGAACTGAGTTGTGGAGGTGGCATCGTCGTCGCTGCTGCCCACTCTGCTGCCCACTCTGCTGTTTGGAACATTACCTGAGGCGCTAATGTTCTCTGCCAGAGCAGGGTCACCTGTGAGAATACAGGAAACATGTAACTGTTGGTATAGATAATGTTCACAGCAGAAACTTTTTTTCATTATAATCACTGCTTTGGAAACAAATGTCTTTTGGTTACAATGATCATTCATGAAAGAAGTAACCACCATGATTCTTAAAGAGAGCAAACATCTATTCCTGAGGGTGTAAAGAGAAATCAATTAAAATATGAGTGTAATTGCACTTGTTTAAAGAGATAATATGACATTTTGGGAAATACAATTATTCGCTTCCTTGCCTTGAGGTGGATGAGAAGATCAGTAGCACCCTTATGTCTGTACAGTAAACAAAAAGTCCCTTTAATGACGTTCATCCACTCTGTGGCTGTCACACATGAGCAAACACTTTTGGATGACAAATGATATGTGTATTGGTTGATGATACAATAAAGCTTTTATTTTTAAAACAGTTTGACATAGGGATAATACACCATGGAACCAAGTTTGATCACGAGCTAGGTATTTTAAAATTAGTGTCAAAAGTCATAGATGCAGTAAAGGCCACAAAATTAGCAGAAAAAAAGGTATATGTATAAATGTACAATGGAGAATGGGACTAGCTTGGATCACATTCAAGTAAACTCTACTGAACTCAAGTGTTTCACTGAAAGGATTATAAAGGTGTGTGAGAAGACCCTGGAGGCATCTGACCCAGCTGAGGGTTTTTTTCTCCCACATCATGTTATGTCTTTTTTATACATTTCTCTAGCAGACATTCTGAACACAGCTGCGTGACAGAGACCACAATTTCAAGTCAAGTTAATTTTATTTGTATAGCCCAATATCACAAATTACACATTTGCCTCAGGGGGCTTTACAATCTGTATACAATACTTTTTTTAATTGAAAAGTATAATAAAAAGACAGTTGTATAATATGCTTCTTCGCGGTTTTGTTTCTGTGACAGTATCAAGACAAACTAGCAAAGCTACCAAAATTAGCCACCTAACAGCCGTCGCCCTAGAGATCCATCAAAAGACTGCAATTTTGTTACCTTTGGATACCAGGCTACCTATTTCCCCATATCTTCAGTCTGCTAAGCTAAACTAAATGTCTCCTGGCTCCAGCCTGGACAGACATGCACAGACATTAAAGTGGTTTAAGTCTTCTCATCTAACTCTTCCTTAAAATCACTAAACCAATTAATCAGTTAATTTGTTTGTAATGCGTTTCATGATAACCTTGTGGAAGGCCATGAGAAAAACATATTGGTCTAACAGTAAGCTTGTTCTACTATATACAGGTGAAACTCGAAAAATTAGCATATCGTGCAAAAGTTTATTTATTTCAGTAATTCAACTTAAAAGGTGAAACTAATATATTATATAGACTGATTACATGCAAAGTGAGATATTTCAAGCCTTTATTTGATATAATTTCGATGATTATGGCTTACAGCTTATGAAAACCCCAAATTCAAAATCTCAGAAAATTTGAATATTGTGAAAAGGTTCAGTATTGTAGGCTCAAAGTGTCACACTCTAATCAGCTAATTAATCCAAAACACCTGCAAAGGGTTCCTGAGCTTTTAATTGGCCTCTCAGTCTGGTTCAGTGAAATTCACAATCATGGGGAAGACTGCTGACCTGACAGTTGTGCAGAAAACCATCATTGACACCTTCCACAAGGAGGGACTGAGGCTGGAGTTACTGCATCAAGAGCCACCACACACAGACAGGTCCTGGACATGGGCTTCAAATGTTGTATTCCTCTTGTCAAACAACAAACAACATCAGAAGCGTCTTACCTGGGCTAAAGAAAAAAAGAACTGGTCTGTTTCTCAGTGGTCCAAAGTCCTCTTTTCTGCTGAGAGCAAATTTTGCATCTCATTTGGAAACCAAGGTCCCAGAGTCTGGAGGAAGAATGGAGAGGCACACAATCCAAGATGCTTGAAGTCCAGTGTGAAGTTTCCAGTCTGTGTTGGTTTGGGGAGCCATGTCATCTGCTGGTGTTGGTCCAATGTGCTTTATTAAGTCCAGAGTCAGCGCAGCCGTCTACCGGGACATGTTAGAGCACTTTATGCTTCCTTCAGCAGACGAGCTTTATGGAGATTATGACTTCATTTTCCAGCAGGACTTGGCACCTGCCCACACTGCCAAAAGTACCAAAACCTGGTTCAATGACCATGGGATTACTGATTGATTGGCCAGCAAACTCGCCTGACCTGAACCCCATAGAGAATCTATGGGGCATTGCCAAGAGAAAGATGAAAGATATGAGACCGAACAATGCAGAAGATCTGAAGGCCGCTATTGAAGCATCCTGGTCTTCCATAACACCTCAGCAGTGCCACAGGCTGATAGCATCCATGCCGCACTGAGGAAGTAATTCATGCAAAAGGGGCCCAAACCAAGTACTGAGTACATATACATGATTTTACTTTTCAGACGGCTGACATTTCTGTATTTAAAATCTTTTTTTTTTATTGATTTCATGTAATATTCTAATTTTCTTTTTGAATTTGGGGTTTTCATAAGATGTACGCAAAATATAAATCAAATAAAGGCTTGAAATATCTCACTTTACATGTAATGTATCTATATAATATATTAGTTTCACCATTTAAGTTGAATTACTGAAATAAATGAACTTTAGTTTGTATATATACTACGAGTGTTGTTGGTGTTTTGACCTCTCCTCTCTCAGTCGTTTTATATAGTGCTCCTAACTAATGCAAAACAAAGCTGGTGCCTCACCAACTAACTATCTATGTGCTCCCTCGAAAGGGATTGGCTTTGAAATGCAAAGAATTGGAGCATGTAATCCATAATCCACACATATATGGCATTTGTATAGATGACTTATCTGGAAGCCATCTCTTCTCTAATGCATTACCCAACATTTTATCACTCATACCAGATCTGGACACACATCTGCCAGGCCTCTGTCTGTCCCTCTCCGGTTCATTCTCTGCATCCATGGATGCAAACAGGAAGTGACGAAACCACTCTTCTTTCTCTCGTCCTGTGCGGCCGAAGAGGTAAAGAGTGGTGGGAAGCTGCGGGACGTGTTTGGAGGAACTTTGTTCTGGACTCCCCGGTTCAGCTGGCTCCTCTTCCTGACTCTCCTCAAACCTTCCTCCCTCATCCCCCAGAGAGTTTGCGCTCCCTGCCAGTTGGATGCAGATGGGATACTTTGGGTTCCACACCCTCTTCCGAGCCAACAAAGATGGCAGCAGGAATACCTTTGGGGAACAATAGCAGAGTTTTGTTGAGTCAAAGCAAACAACAATTGTTAAATGGGAAAAGCAGTCAGATGTCCCATTTATGAATTATTAATTAAGGCTGAAGAGTTTAACCATTATTTTTTTCCTGCCACTTAGCCTTTATTTCAAATATGCTTTTCTCCACCTTTGTTTATTTTCTCTCAGGCATTTCTAGCAAATTCAGACATTCATGGTAAATATAGCCTCACAGAGCTGTTATCATAGCATTTTTTTATCCATAGGAAACTGAGTTATTATTTAAGTATTATTTTGCAATATCAAGTATACAGTGTAGTTCCTATTTTCTTGATCTTGTACGGAACATCACAAGAATAACAAAATATATTGAGTCTTTAAAGAAAATACAACAGCCTCAGATATAGAACAAATAATCCCTTAACACGATTACTTGGGCAGTCAACATACTTTGCTCTTTGCAAGCTGAAAGGAGCGTGACTTGACAAACGTGGCCTCAAGAACTCTCTCATCGTATGTGGCCCTCCGGCTAATGTTGGTACGCGGCGAGTCCAGGCGGAGACAGGTGCCCTCCAGGGTAGCAAACACGGAGTGAGTCATAGCTGGGTGGTAGATTTCTGGGTCATAATCATGTATCTCATTCATCCAGCCCTGAAAAGGAAGTAAGTAAGTGTTATTTCAATCAACACAATGCTCAAGTTTCAAGTGAGTAATAAATACTTGATCTGGAATTGTTTTACTCTTGAAACTCATGTTATTAGTATACAGTAAAAAGTAAATGTGATTATGAATGTGTCGTTTTCAGTGACAGTTTTAGTGACAGATCTGAGGAGGTTGGTCCAAACTATCAAAGTCATGTAAATTCACCTGAGTGGATTTCAACATCAGTTAATTTTATGGTAAATTTAGTTGTAGTGCAAATGCAGTACAGAAGGCGAGTCTGCCTGCGGGTTTAGAGGAGTAGTCATCCATAATAATGCTGGTGCTAGAGAATATGTAAAAAAAAAAGAAAAAAGAAAAAGGCACATTGTGTCCTGGATTTGGCTTGCCAGGCAACACATCATTCCTGGCTTCACACTTCTGTCAGCAAACTCTAGCAAGTAGAGGCTTTAGATTACAGATGGTAATAGTTAGGGTTAGACCCAGGGTTCCGGTTAGAGTAAACTCATCCTAGTAAACTGAACTAAGAGCAAATCAACCCATGAGCTTCATATACACAAGACATTCATGTCACAGTTCACCATTTTGGGAAACATGCGTATTCGCTATTTGGCTAAGTTGCACAGCATTACGTAGTAACTCTATTTCCAGTCTTGCTAAGCTAACATCCCCTGTCTCTAGCTACATAATTAGCATACAGAGTGATATTGGTCTTCTCATCTAAATCTCACCAAGAAAGCAAAGTTTCCACAATCTCAAACGATTTCTTTTACATCTGGATTTACAGTAGGTCAACATAAATTACAAAGCTTGAAAACTTTTTGATAGTCATAAAAGCATATTTAGTGTGAATTTGCTAAATAATCCTGTTAAATAAAGAAGAAATTTTAAGCTTAAAACTTTGCTCTTTGCTAATACTTTGCTTTTCACATGTTAACAGCCCCCAGACTGAAACCAAACTACTAAAAATCAAACAAGGGAATAATCTCTTGATGCTCCATCAACACCACTCTTCACCCTCCATACCCCCCTCGCACGCGTCATCCTGCCTGTATCCCACACTAATTGCCTTTGGAACTGACAGTGTCTGGGTGGTAGCTTTCCTCTCTGTTTGCCCTGTGTCAAGCCAGGAGGAACAGTAATTACCACTGCAGCTCTGGCAGTTTTGAATATTGAAGGTTTTAATTCCATTGTGGGCAACTTATGTAATTGCATGCCACTTTCAAAAGCTTTAATCTGTGAAGGAAACAGTCAGCGGAGGAGCTGGAGTGAGTCACTGATTTGACACAGTTCTATATTAGAACAAATTACCATGGGTGAAAACTTATTAAAAGTACTGTTACTGCATTTGGAGTAGCATTTAAACATGCTTTTAAAGTGCATTCAGAAATCACTTTCACCAAATCAATTTTCTATTGACTTTGTACACAGCTTGTGTTTTTTGAAAGGCTGCAAGTCGGAGTGGTCTGCAGTTACGTTGTTACAGTAGGGCACGGTCAAACAGATTTTAAGTTTCAATTAGTTTTGAACCTTTTTTCACTTAATAATAGACAATTTCTAGATTGTAGGAAGGCTGGTTGGTAAGGTGTATTCATTTTGAAGTTGCTATGGTCAGAAACCCACGCTGGCCATTTCATTACATATAACATATAACTGTAACAATGTACTGTAGCTATAAGTGCATTTTCATCCACCTGTTTTTATGCGCATTTTCAGTTTGCACATAAAAACCTTTTTTTATTAACTGTTAATTTGGAAATGCCAGAAATGTGTTGGACTATTGCAGTTTTTACTTTTGGCAGAGGTGGAAAAGTTGGTGTATCGATAGCAAAATGTGACGTGGTGTAATGGTATCTGATTTAGCCAATATTTCATGATGTACATGAAATATGTGACTTAAATGTCCACTGAGGCTGGCAGACGAAAACATCAGGTGTGTATGGACCAGTAAGGAGAGTGTAACAACTAAAAACAGCCATATTTACATCCATTAACATTTGTACTGACTATTGGCTGGCTATTTCCTCTGTTCCCAGTCATTGTGCTAAGTGAACCTAACCGGCTGCTGGCTCCAGTCTTATAGTTAACGGACAGATATTAGAGTGGTATTGATTTTCTCATCTAACTGCACATTTCCCAAAATGACTATTCCTTTAAGAAACAAGTGGAACACTTTGGTGGAACAAAAAAAATTTAATTCAAAGTCTATAGACCCCTGTAAGTAATCTGTCTCAGATGTTATTTATGGAAGACCTGTTGAGAAATGTGTGAGTGTTGGAATGAGACTGAGGTGGCTGAATATAAGGTGAGAAGAAAAATGTGACATTTTCCTCCTTAACGACTCATCCATTTACCTTCAGGATGTCAGGCTCAGTGGTCACAGTGCCATCTGTCAGAATACTCTCTCCCAACAGAGTCTGTGCTGGTCTGTTTGGAGGATCTGAGCAGGGAGAACCAGAGGAACCCATCCTAATGAGGAACAATCCTAGCAAGAAGCCCGATGCTAATCCCAGAGCCAGGCCAGAGAAGTATGGACTGAGAGGTAGGGTGAAATAGCCATAGGACAGCACTGCCACACAGAATAAACTCATACGTGGCAGAGGATGAGGGCGCTGAGAAAGAGGAGAAGTCCTAACCAGGGAAGCTGCAAGGACTTGAGGTCCAGCAGGTGTTCTCCTCGCCTGCCCACGAGTCTCAATGGCTAATACTTGCATTATGTCACCGTCTGTACATATTTCCAGCTCCTCATCCTTGTGATGTGTTCTGTGGTGATGCACGGGGCAGAGGCTACGTTGGCGTCGTTCAGGATGTCTAACAGACGGCCAGTCAAACACAGGCAAAACATCAGCATCTGTTTTTCTAGTGTTCCTCACAGGAGACTCAGAAAGAACTGTGTCTGTGCTACCTTCACGCCCCAAACCTCTGGAGCCTACCAGAGGATGAGCCCCTTGGGTCTTACCCTGGTTTTTGGGGCTGCCTGTGCTCTCCTCTCTCATGATCTTACTGAACATGCTGCTCAGAGGCTCGTGCACAGCCTCCGAGAGCTTCCTCTTGGTGTCCTCTAACTCCATTTTGAAGAAGCCCCCTTTCAGACCCTCTCCACTAGGGGAGAGTGCGCTAGGAGAAGGGGGTGCAGTGCGAGAGTCCCCATTGCTGCGGCCTTTTGGTTGGGTAAGCTGCTTCCACAGGTGGAGGTTGAGGCGGGAGTCTGATTTTGACTGCGACACCTCGGGCTCTGAGCGAGAAATCTCCGTGGAGATCGACTTTACGAGGCTGAGAAGGGGCTTAGGTCTGAGAGTGGAGCCTTCTTTGAGCTCCATCTCTGTGGAGAGAGACTTGACCAGGCTCGCAAGTGGTCGGTGGGTGGGTGAAGAAGGGCCTGGTGAGAGGAAGCTGGGCCCAGTGGTGGAGCAGTTGCCCAGAGAGCCCGGGGACGAGGGAGAAAGAGGGACATGGAAAGCTTGGGACTGCAACCCTCTGTCATCCTCAACAGAAAGCTGCCTCTCCTTGGGGAGAGATATAGAGGGGTTGTCGTCATCGTGGTCAAGGGAGAAAATGAGCTCACTGTCATCCAGACTGTCCCATTCTCCCTCTGTCCCAGTCAGCTGGATCACAATCCCTCGAGGGAGATGCCTCTTGGTCCCAAGGGAGGAGGCGCCGACTGGGGAGAAGCCAAGAGCCGGGCTGTGGGGCTCCTGAAGAGGCCTGGCAACTCTTCTTCCTTTATCCTCGTGTTTTCTGTCCTCATTACTTCCACTCTCTGCCATTTCTTTACATTATATTGCTCAGCCAAGGCACCTAAGAGTCACTGAAAGAGAATAAATAAAGAATGTGGTCAGCTACATTATTAAGCCTCGGAGGCAGAACAAATATAAGCAACCAGGGAATGAGTCATAGAGAGAGAGGGAATCTTTTCTACGCCTGTGCCTCATTTTCACAGAAACTGTATACCAGTGCCAACTACGCATTAATGTGTGAATGTCACATAGTTCCGCTCTGAAGAGTTGCGGAAATCTACATTAATCTGAAGACTAGTGAGCCTGAATCAGATCCAAGTAAGCACCTCTCCCATAGCTGTCGCTCCACATACTGAAGGAGTTTTAGAGGCATGCAAAAATAGACAAGACAGTCTGTCTCCCCGAAATGTTGCACAAACTAGGGCAACTCTGGCTTGTATCTAATGTCTTTTGGGGCTGATTGGATGTCTATATAGAATCCATTCAATTCATGTGCAAGGACTTTCTGTGCGCATGAACATGAAATGAAAAAGTAAGTGAGCAAAGATGTAGCCTTTCAGCAGAGTATATTTTGGCTTTGTTAAAATTGCAATCTCCAAACAAATACTTAATGTTTCCATGAAGTTATATTCAGCATGTCAACTCCCCAGGGAAATAACTAGTGTCTTCCAGTCTCACCTCCTAAAGAGCTAACTGTCAGCCATAAAACCCCTGAGTCACACCCTTCCCTCTGATGTCTTCTCGAGCTGTTGAAAGAGTTATTTATGTAACCCTGAGATGAATAGTGAGGGGAGCTCAAAGATAACACATCCACAGCCACCACCTACTGACTTGTCAAAATTATACTAGCCAAATACAACACAGAACAGAGAGGCAATGTGTATTATCAGCTGTCATTTTCTAGGAGAAAAGAGCAGTTCTGCATCACTGGACAAGAGCTAGGAAACAGCACAAAGGCCCAGTAGGGACCCTTTCATTCGCTGTCTCTCTGGGTCAAGTGCCCTGCTCGTTATGCAAGTTAAACCCTACCTCTGACTGGTCAGATTTATGTAACTGCATTACAGCCCTGTGTGGCACAATTTCAACCAATTCCACAGCATCTGGTGGATTCTGACTAATCTGCCCTAACCCAAAATGGAGGGGATGGTGGGGATATAAATCTAAATAAATAATAAATCTCACAGACGCACATGCAGCCAGGAGGCATTAGACCTTCCTCATAGCTTTTCACAGGGTGGGAACAGGGACCAGAACCTGCCAAGTGCCGAAAAAGAGACACATATACACACAAACACACATGCACATTAGGCAGGCTAAACTACTGTTAAGCTAACAATATTTTGTCCAAGCTAATAGGAGAACACCAACAGGACAGGCCAATGTTAACAAAGTGCCAAGCTAGTTTGGACTCCATAGGCTTCTGTATTTTTTAAATTAATCCCAATGTTCTTATATAAAATCACTGCAGCTACTAGACTTAGGGTACATCTTTTGGCCTTGAGTGGTACAATCCACTGTGGAGAGGATTTTAAAAAACAACATGTTTGGCTACACAGTGTCAATACAGCCTCTGAGTCTAACGGCTCTGTGAGGCTGTACAGTTGTGCTTCAAGCTAAATGAGAACATTAGCATGCAAACATGCTCAAAAGGGCAATGTAAACACGCCGATGTTTAGCAGATATGTTTACCACAAATATTTCTTAGTTTAGTGTGCTAGGATTTTTTTTAGCACTAAACACAAAGTAATACTGAGCCTGATGGGATTGTCATTATCTTATCAGATATTTGCTGAATGGTGCAACTAGAGAAAAAATTAGAGGATCACTAATGTTATTACAATTTATCTTGTGGGGAGATGAATGTCTAGGTAAAAAAATCCATGGTCTTCAATCTGATATTTGTTGAGACACTTAACTCAAAACCACAAATGCCAGCCTCATGGTGGTGCTAGCGGAAAAGTATGGATAAGTAGTATTACTCCTCTAGGGACCATGAATGTGTGTACCAAATATATTGATATGTCTGTCTGGACCAAGATATCCATACAGCCACGCTGATGCATGGCATGGCAATTTTTCTAGTTTCAAGTGATAAACTCTAAATCTCTGTTTTCTACTATGACTCTGTGCTTTGGGCTTTTGGTTTCACTGTGCTGTTGGAAGTATTCAGCTGTGACAACCCCAGAGGCCACAGAAAGATGAGTAAAAGTTTACTCAACCTTTCTGTGGTTTAAACCAGGACAACCAAAGAAAGTCAAGAACAGAAGGAAGAGTGGTGAGAATGTGGTACTGTAAATATACTACTGCATGATTTTAGGACTCCAGGGGCCAGTGATCTTTCTGAGCTTATAATTGCGGGTCCAACCAGTCATTTCAGGTCCCTATCCAGCAGCATGTGATGCTTAATGATAAACTCCTATAAAACGAATGCACATGAAACACAGAGATCATGTGAGAACTGTATCTGCACTGTAATGTGTGTGATCAATCCATTACGTTTTTAATCAGTGACAGAATCTGCCTGACAGCATGTCTGACTCAGTGTGTGCATGTAGGTGTTTGTGTGCCGCCCTCTGATCAGACACGAACAGTAACACTCTTAGATTAACGTTAATGCAGGGTTTTACTGTGAAATCTGACAAATCACACAGCCGGATTATGGGCTAAAACCAACATTTGGTGGGGTGTGTTTCCATGCTATAGCTCATCTCCGTGACCCAGTGTTGACTGTAGTTATTAGTAACGTCACAACCCTTCTGAGTCCTATACTATCAGCAGTCTTGTGCTTATAAGGCCATATACAGATATCTGGCAGATTAAAAGAACAATCTGTGCTGAGAAACAAATGCAGATGCTTACCAGGCAGCTGGTTAAGTGAAAGGTTTGAAAATAGATTTCAACTCATTGGAAAACCTATGGGACACTTTGACCAAAAATTAAATAGAACATTCTATGACAGTAATCATAGAGTAGTTACAGGGTATGTCAACCTTTTTTAAAGGTACTTACAAAGTAAGTTTTGGGTATGGGGTCTGTAATGTGCAGTACAGTACAGCCTTTCAGTATAATATATGCTATTACATAGAAAACAAAATATGTTTATCTCAGTGTTAAAACAGAAATAAAACTGTAATTAGTAAACATTAAGTAGAATATATAACACTTGAGAAGGATTAGTCCTACAGTTTTTCTTTTATGCAAAGTCAATATGTCATAAAGTTCATTTCATTCATTCTTTTTTAACTAAGTGACAGTGCCACATGCAGATTAGCTCCTTTTTCATACTGTGCCTACTGTGAAAAGACTAAGCCTGTTGGTCATCTGTCTGAACTCTGTAATTATTTAATTCCTACTGGGTCATTATAAGCTCCCCCATTAAATGCTAATCAAAGCACACACTAGACTTAGCCGCCAAATCAAAATTGCCTAGGAACATTTTGGGATCAACAAGATAAAGTATCATGAATGATTTCTTGAAGCTCATCATGTCAAGCTGTCCTTGGATCAGTTGCTGACTAGAGTTTCTTTATACAGAAACCATTAATCAACTATTCTGATTATTAGTTAGGCCTAATCAGTCATTTACCAAAACATTCAGTCAAACATTTGCTGTTTACAGTTTCAGTATTTGCTGCTTTTCTTTGTCATATGTGATTGTAAACTGAGTTTTGGACTGTTAGTCAAATGAAACATGTAATTAAAACATATGACTTTGGGCCCTGATGTTATAATGGACATTTCTTTTCTACTTCCTGGCATTTTATAGACAAAATTATTCAATTAATTGATTAATTGAAACAATAAATCGACAGATTAGTTATAGCCCTAATTACACCAAAATGAGTAAACTATGAGCAGACAGATGGATCTCTACACTGCTGAAAACAAATGTATGCAGTCGGCGCATGTGACCTAATCCAAAAAACAAAAGCGTCATATTATAAAATATAAATACACACAATACATCTGGCCCCAAACTTGTACAGTGGCTATAAGTAAAATTCCGGTCACAGAATCCTGTGTTACACCTCAGAGCTGCAATCTTTCTCACATCCACAAGACAAGTGTGACATGCTGACATGAAGAAGTAGAAGTTAAATGGCTGAGAAAATGTTACATAACGCCATCAGTCTCAGGTAAAATGCCTTATTATTATACCAGACCACTTCTATTCTTGCAGACTCCTGGTCTGACTTTTGAATAAAATGTCTGCAGCGCTGATGGTGTTTTGCAGAAAGAAAATAGCAACACGAGGAGATGAGGAATATATACTTACCAGAAAAATAATTCTGTGAACAGATATGTGACTAAAACTGCCGGTCAGAGTTGTTTCTTTCTAGCTCCCTCTCCATTTGTGTGCGCAGGGACCGCGGAGTGAGGAGTCTCACGCTGGCTCTCTCTCTCTCTCTCTCTCTCTCTCTGTGTCTCTCTCTCTCTCACGCAGCCACACGCAACCTCCCCTCAATGACTGCCAGCATCCAGATGTGTCATGCGCTGCCGAGAATCACAGCTCACCCAACTGATTATGAAAAGCAAGGCTGCACTGCATGATAATCCAGATTAAGAGTCCTGCAGCCCCAACAGAAGCATGCACAAACTCACAAACTCACCCACACAACTCTGCACCCTGAGTGCATATGCTGTCTAATTGTACAAAACGTAGTGACAGCCAAAGTTCAGCCTGAAAGCATATTATTTTCTTTTCTGGTGAGCATGCATGCAAAACTGAAGTACTGGCCTTATAATCAAGTGTAGCAGTGGGCCTATTCAAACTGTTACCATTAGGTCTCTGGCACTTTTTAATATTGCACATATTCATTCAGATTGAAATATTCTCTTGGCAATGAAGAAAGAAAGAAGAAGAAAAAGATATATATAAGAATAAATTTACCCCCACCCCTGATGTCCCTCTCTCCTTACCTCCGTCCATGTTGGCCTACATAAAACACTGGAAGCCCTAGAAATGACAAGAAGAAGAACGGGGCAGAGTGGCTTGCAGGCTGCAGCCGGAGCGAGAGACAATAACCCCCATGCATCACTGACTGGAGGAGGTGTTCCTCGGTCTTGCTGGCTGCATTCATGACATTCACTGAAGACCACTAATGTATGTACAGTTTTGTGATTTTATTGATTTTAATTTCCATTTTCCTAATACTGTCTCTAATTCTTATGTATTATTTGTTACCTTTTATGATTGCAAAGTTTGTGGTGGATCTGAAAATAATGATAACATGCAGAAGGCCCTTTATTTTCAGATCTTCACCACATTGGCCTTCATAGTCTGGGAACTAGCATCAGCACAGAAGTAGAACTAAAAAATATTAATGACTACATTTAAAATTACTGCAATATTCCAACATGAAAACAATTAGCCAGTGAAGGAATGTAACAAAGTATATTTACTCAAGCAGTGTGCAGTACAATTTTGATGTACTTGTACTTTACTCAAATATTTCTAGTTTCTGCTACTTAGTACTTCCAATTTCAATAGGAATATTGTACTTTTACTCATCTTACATTTATTTGACAGCTATAATGTACTAGCTGTGAACATAGTGCCTAATACAGACCAACTGGTACAGAGTACCAGAAGTCATGCTATTAATTTAATCCATTCAGGCAATTGATTTGTGGTCTCTGCACCTGGTAGCTACAGGCCTGTCTATTGGCTACCTGCTTTATGATGAGAGATGAACTACAACATGCTGAGCTTCATTGTAGAAACTCAGTGTCAGCCAGCAGATTATGTGCTGGACTGTGGAAATGGAACGGATTATTATTACCACAGAAAGCAGAACAGCCAGCAGCACTGGAGATTTAAGACTCCAGAGCAGTTTGCTTAGGAAACGGGACTCTACACTCAAGTGTCTTGAGAACTTGAGGAGGTGATGGAGATGAACTGTGGTCACCAGAGAGACTGGCATGTATTAGTAGATCTGGTCAAGCTGACGCTGCAGCTGGCTGCAGACCTGCACATCAACCCCCTGGAGGTTCTGAAGCCTCCCTCATAGCTCCCATCCTGACACCTGCAGAGTGATAATAGACACTGAGGAGGCTGACCCAGATGTTAGCTGGCTGCCTGCCTCAAATCAGACTGCAAGACCGGGGCTGGAGTCAAACAAAATTACACTGCTTAGAACCCGAAGGAAACCAAAAGAAGCGGATGTCCCGTCTGAGATCAAGGCTGAGAAGCATGGCTGGTTCAGACAAATCATAAAAATTATTACAGGAAGAACAGTTCAGCTTGTTGTTATAAGAATCAAAAAGAGATTGTGTGATTGCAAAAAAAAATTGCCATGTATTTGTTGAATGAAAATGGTATATAAGTTTTTATTATGTGAAAGAAATGCTAATCTGTCCTACAGTAAATCTTAATGCAGTTTGCTGAATACACAGCTGGACCCGGCAAGTACTGGAAGTCCAGTTTAAACCTCCTCTCCTCACAGACGACCATGTTATGACTCTTGTTGTTTTATCTGTTCTTTTGCAGCATAACACCCACACAGCACTCATCCGATCACTACACTACTGATATTACAGATATTACTGCTGTGTTAGAACCCCCTACTTACTACTACAGATGGATGTGTCTACTTACAGGCATGACAATATTTTTCTTAAGAGGGAAGGGGGCCTACAGAGTCTACATATGTACAGGGGCCAGATTTGTGTGCTACAGTATTCCACTATGTCTAAGTGTTGTGTTTTTGCATTTAAACCATGCCCAGCCTAATCAGATTTTTATACCTTCATGTTAACAAATAATGTCTGATTGTTGTTTTATTAATTCTTTTGCAGTAATCAGAAAATATACTTCCATCTTGCCTTATTTTCCAGGCTTTAAGACAAAGTTAGCAAACTTACAAACAAGCCAACAGTCAAGCTTTTACAGGTCATGCAGCTTTTTGATATAAAGCTTCTTTTGATCACATTTTTGATCACTCAGAGATTCCAAAATCACAGCACCATATAAAGGGATCCATTATACTGCATACTAATACTGCACTGGGATCAGTACTATTTATTAAAGTGGGCCCATACATTTTTGGGTAATGGTCAATGCTCAAAAACATGTGTAAAAGCAGGAAAAGGAGAGAAGAGTCATTAGCATGCTAATGTTAGTGACTGAGTATTGTCAGTTATACCGCAATATTTATGTAAAGTTTGCTAACATTAGCATTCGCTACCAGAAGTTAGTGGTCAGACCAGACCACATAAGGCTGTAGCAGCAAAAACCCTGAATGTACTGAAGCGAGTCAGGCTGATTTTATTTCTCACAAATTTAAGTAAAGAATGAGATCAGTGATCAGTGATCCCACATCCTGAAAGGAAATCCTTTCTTACATATGCCAAATTACTTCACATTACACTTAGCATGTAACTAATGAGGGCTAAACCACATGTGGGGTAGCTCCCAATTTATACAACGTATAATTAGCATGACCCGATGAAAATTCTTTATACCTCTAGACCGAAATGATATGAACTACTGTAAATCGTGTGAAGGAGCCTTTACTCTTAGTCATTAAATAATGAATTTAAAAATGATCTTTTTAAATATATAATTCCTCTTCATATTCTCATGCTATAATTCCATTATCGAAGTACATCTCCACAGACCTCTTTATCCTGGTATATTACTTCAATTGCTGCTTTACATAAGAATGAAATCCACACTGTATTTGCATGGCATGACTATATTTAGAGTGCAGCTATGAAAGGCCTGCTGTTCAAAATATCTCACTGGCGTATGGTATTATGATAATTACGCAGCTACTACTTCAGTACATGGGTTTGTGAAATTGAATGAGCACCAGGGCCCGGGGAGCTTTGTTGCTCCCACTAACTCCACCTCAATTTTTGTGCACGTCTGATACGTGTGAGTGACTGTGGGCATGTGCATGATGGCCACCCCCACTCAACACACACAAACACATACCATGCCATCTGTTGACATATGCAGCTGTTCAAAAATAGCCTTCTACCAGAAGCTTCCCTGAGTGGCCCACAGATAGGCAGAGCAGGGATCTTGTCGTGTGTCAGTGCAAGTTGTTGAGTCTCTACTATGACCACATGTTGGCCGGCAATGGTCTGAAACCACTGCAAGACTGTTTGACTGGCAAGTTTCATTAAGTCCGTCTCTGTTTGATGTAATTTCTGACAGCTATCCAACTGGGAATTTGTTGTTGATAGTCTTTTTTGTTACTTGAAGTGAGAGTGACTGCAAAACTGAAAATGGAGCCATTTCCAGACCAGTTCATGGAATTCCACCCCATCCACGGTACCAATGTCAGACTGGACCACTCAGGGACTCAGGCCACCCGGGTGGAGAGCTTTGCAAATGGAGTGTGTTTCAGCAAACACCCTCTGAAGCCTGGGGAGATTTTTCTCATAGAGATCCAGGATAAGGAGCTGGGCTGGTGCGGCCACCTCCGGATTGGCCTGACTGCCAGGGACCCGAGGGGATTAGAGGTGGTACCTGAATATTCCATCCCAGATCTGACAACCTTAGGGGACAGCTGGGTGTTTGCCATCACTCGCAACCACAATAAGATCATAGAGGATGCTGAAGCAGGGGGTGAACAGGCTGGAGACGGAGGACTGGCTGGAGGCCAGAGACTTGGACGAGGGGAGGTTGAAGATGGAGCTGGAAGGGAAGGAGATGGAGGAGGAGGCAACACCAAACCAATGACTTTCTTCACTGACTCTGACTTGTACATTGAGAATGTTCGGATTCCCAAAGACAAGCTGGTTGGCCGGAGCAGACCCGGACGTTACAGCCACATATTAGATGACTTGTATAAGACCAACGCCCTGCCTCCCACAGCCAGACGCAGCCGGATCGGAGTGCTATATGTGCCCAAAGGGCGAGACCTGGCTGACATGCACATTGTCATCAATGGTGAGGACATGGGAGCTTCTGCAAAGGGGATCCCCACCATCCAGCCTCTCTACGCTGTGGTGGACATCTTTGCTGCTACTAAGTGTGTCCAAATTGTCCAGGTGGAGTATGGATGTGAGTGTCACAGTGATACTTTTAGTCATGGATCGTTATGAAATAACCCTGGGCACAGACATCACTGGGTGCTACTGAAAAAGACTCTCTTTTGCATCAAGTTTAAGTCTCTTTGTACTCATTTTGCATCTCTTTGTGGTCATTTCGTGTGTCTTTGTGGTCGTGTTGGGACTCTTTGTGGTAGCTTTATGTTTCTTTGTGCTTATTTAATTGACTTTCCAACAAGAAATATTAACCGTGTCTTCCTGTATAGACTCTGGCCCAGGGACCCGTTAATTAATCCATTCATGCTTTCCAAGCATCTTTTGTCATTATTTCTTCATAAATTCTCTTTTTATTCTGCTAATCCACCGTCTTATGGTCTTTTTTTGTCCTCTTCCTCTGCTGCTTCCAGTCTCATCTTTGCAGACGTTGTGTAGGAAGGCCATCCAGAAGCACATGGTCCACAGGATGGCCATTGACTCGCTGGAGCTGCCAGAGGCACTTAAGAACTTTTGCAAGTACGAATAAAGGAGACAGACCTGCAATGGACAGAAACATATTATCTGTGCTCTCTCCCAGTTTCCAACAAGTATTTATTTTCATGATGGAACTGTGTTTCATTAAATAAAATAATCTTAAGGAGGTACGCTCTTGATACCTGCCAGGCTCTGATAATGTTCATGTCATTTGAGATGACAACTAAAATAAAATAAATTCAGAGTACTGCTTAGGTGTCTTTGATTCTACTTCCTCCTCACACTGTATGTGTTAGTGGTGTGATTTATCATTACTTTCTCTCTTTCAAGAACCTTTAAAGGAATGAACAGAGATCACAATAAGTAATGTGAATTCTGTTTACTCCTTCAAATGAACGTATAAATATGTTACATAATGATAATGAAAAGTTATATTGACTTTAATCCTATCAACCCAAGTTTACAAAAAAGTGAGCCAGGACTTGTTTACTGTGTGCAGTGTTATTTTAAATTATCTGTATATCATTTTACAAGTAAATTATGTTGTAGCAAATGGATATGGCATCAGTCTGCAGCAGTGAGAAATGAGGTCACACTGATCCGCTACATTTCTTCCCAAAGATCTGACAAAAACCTAACCTGTAAAACCTCAACATGACAGAATCCATATTCTCACAGTTTTCTGGGGGCCGTTTGAACATTTCCATCATATTAATATTTTTGCAAAATAGTGTGAGTGAACCAAGTCAAGTTGCAGTAGAGAGACATGAAAAGGTGACAAACAGACAGGCCTTACTGTAAGTCTGTTACACTGAGACCACAGCCATGTTACTGAGATATGGGCACATTTGCTGATTCTGATTCATCCTTAAATTTAATACAACTCTGAGATGTTCCACATAAAACTAAATGTACATGGACCAATTTAAGAAGTGTCACCCCATAACAATTTAAAAGTATATGCTCTGATTTCCTGCACACATTCATTTTACTGTCCAAAACCATAGGATTAGCACATAGGCGAACTTTCCATCAGTAAATTTAGGTCCAGGAAAACGCTTCAGTGGAGTAACTACGACATCTAGTGTTAATGCAGAGAAAGGCAGAAGGCGGAGCTCCCGTTAATTCTCCAGTCAGGATCACTTCAGACGCCAGGAGGAAATCAAGAGAGCGCCCAGATGATCCGTCCCTGCTGTTCGAAGAAAGACTGAGCCAGATCGAGATCTATTTTGCCTCTAGCTGATCTGTGCAGACGTCACAGCATGTCTTTCTGTCAGTTTTTGGGCGGCGAGGTCTACAAGGATCATTTCAAACCAGGTAAGCAGGCGCTGTCTGCTGTGATGTAACCTCCCTGTAGTCTGGATTTCAGGGGACAAAATTACCATTTTATTTTAATTCTCCGCATGAGGTTTGTTTAAAGTGTCTTTTTTGGCTACAAATGAACTGGTTTTAATGGAAAACGATATGATTCAATAATTGCGTAATGTCACGGTGATAGTAGAGAGAGGAGGGGCACGTGGTGTGACAACATTTGGGGAAGCAATTGATAAAGATCAGTTTAAATTTATTTGTATTTGCATATTTCAGATTTGTAAGATTAACATGAAGATTCTAATAGAAATATGATAATAGTAATAAAGAGATCTGCTATTAATGATTTTGGAAATGAACTTGCACTAGCCAAAAGTGTTGGCATGTTTAAGTAAAATTACCCCATTACAGTGCTTACAGCCTTTTTTTGGTTTGTGACCCTTAAAATAAAGTATCATGGGACCCCTCCTCACATGTTGTGGCCCTTGTGTTGACAAAAGTTTTCAGCTGTTCAACCAAAGAGTGAGATTTGCTTCTCACATCATTTAATGTAGATCAGTGGTTCGAGTAAGAAAAAGAAAAGAAAAGCAGAATTACAGGAAAATTAACTTAAGTTTGTGTAAGGTTAGGTTTTATTGGGGTACAAAATGAAACTGTGCCACAGCTTTTAAAAGTAACTGTCTCCTGCAGGCATGTATGTGTGCTCCCAGTGTAACCACCCACTGTTCTCCAGTCGGTCCAAGTTCGCACACTCGTCTCCCTGGCCAGCTTTCACTGAAACCATCAGGGAGGACAGCGTCACCAAGATGATGGAGACTCTCACTGCCTACAAGGTAAGAGTCACACTCACTAAAGTTCTTATATTTTTACTATCTATATGTCCTCTTTGTTTTACTGCTGCTTCAGCATTTGCTCATTAGGATGTGACACAGGAGGCTGATGTGATTGTGTTTCATGGATACAGGTACTGTGTGGCAAGTGTGGCAACGGGCTGGGCCATGAGTTTGTAAATGACGGCCCAGATGAAGGAGTGTCACGCTTTTGAATATTCAGCCACTCGCTTAAGTTTGTCCCCAGCAAAGGTAAGCAGGCCACAGACATGTGTGAGGCAAAGACATGGTGTCAAGGGCCAGGAGTTTTCCCAAATCCTAAAATGATCTCAAACTACCTTCCCAAAAACAATGCCTTTTGTTAATGAGGACAGTTTTAATTGGGAAGTATTTTCACCTCACAGTGAGGTCTGTGGATACTAAATGAGTAGGACATTGTTTCTGGAGAGAGATGTTGGTTTTGAAGATGTGTTTCATTTTTACGATGCTTTGTGCACCAAGCACAAATTAAATTCCATTCACGTCTACTGCTCTGGGGTTGCAGTGTCAGAGGCCCAAAAATACAGTATGTATGCAAATAAAAATGTGTTTCTGGGTTATTTGGGTAAACTGACAATTTCACAGTGGTGGAAGTATTCAGATGCTGCTGTAAATGTAGTAAAATTATTAATACAACATTGAAAAATACAGAGGTATTAACAGCATAATGAACTTAAAGTAACAAAAGAAAAAGTGCTTATTTTGCTTAATGTGCCCTTTCATAGCGTCATATAGTACACTATATTATAATACATTATATATAAGGAGTTATTCAATAATTAATTTTTCAAATGCTTAAGTTGATATGCAGTGAAAACAAGTAAAAAAATAGTCCTTATCCATTGGCAGATGTATTTTTTTTTATAAGAAAAAAATTGCCACAACAAGTTGATTAAATGTATTTAGTTGCTTTCTACCTCTGCATTTAATTCTGTCTTCAATAAGTGTGTTTATCTCTTGTCTCTGTCCCAGGCAAGGACAAACAGTAAAGAGCGAGGTAAGAGTTTTTCACTCCAGCTGCTGTATCTGCTGCTCTGTCCAGACTGTTGAACAGGCCGGGTCAGTGTATGACGTGGACAGGGGAAAGGCCTGAGATGGACGTCCTGTCCACTGAAGAATCTTTGACCAGCCTGTGGCACAGTGACAGGACCACACCTCTGCAAATATTCCTTTGAATACCTCATTTTAATATATATTAACTCAAAGATTATGATTCCCTCACTCTTGATAAAATATATCAGTATATGCATGTCATTTTAGCAAGATTTAACAAGGTTTTTGAGATATAGAAAAATTAGGCAGTTTTCATTCAGCCGGCGCTCGCCAGTTATTGCTGTTATCTCTTTTTTTAATCTGTTTAATTTTACATTACATTTTACACTGTTGCTGGTGTCATTTGGCTTACTCCCATTTACTTCCCTAAGGTAAATTTAACCATATTATCTATGCACTGAAGATTGTCAAGATTAACAAATCAGCTAAATTTTTGTCCTTTTTGTTAATGTACTATAAGCAGGTTTACTTGAACAGATACGTTTTACAGTGCAAGAATGTTAAATAACAGAATTTTTGTGCATTCACATTTTACTTAGAGTAACTCAGTCTAAGATTTAGATTTTTTCTCCATTGTTAGTGTATTGATGCTCAAATGAAGGGAAAAAGTATCTGATTTATTTGCAGTGGTGGCATTTAAGAACATTAACTCAAGTACTGTACTTTCTACAATTTTAAAGTACTTTACTACAATTCAGAGGGATGCTTTTAAAATTTAACATTCAAAACATATGATGAGTAAATAAAACACGATGGATGCATTGTTATAAATTGAACTAAGATTATGTAAAATAGTTTTAATTATATTTCACCTAATAAAACTGCAAAATGCTACTTACACATAATGCATCAGTAATAATAATGTAACACTCAAAGTTGACAATTAGTTCATTTTGCTAATAATACTTGCATACTTTTCCAAGAAAGATATATAACTGTAGGGGAGACCAAGTATGATTGTAACATGGGGAGAGTTGTAACAACACGAATTCCACCGATTAGAGATAGGTGATCATTTCAGTATTTACCTACTTCCTCCAGGATTAGGCATGCTGTTTGTCAAGTCTAGAAATGGGTACATTACGAATATGTAGACAAAAAAATTATTTTGAGGTCAGAAAGTAAATTTTTTGACCAAAACTATATTTTTCTGAGGCTACACGTGATGCATTTTTTCCTTTCTAATTTTTAACCACTATGTTTAAACAACACTGGCTGACGGGTGGGATGGGTTGTAACAGTTCTTTAAAAAGTGCTATGCATACTATAATATTGTACAGAGTGCCATTTGCAGTCTGGGCCCACCAAGCCTGCACTCTAGGGTTAGCAGCATTCGTTTGTCGACACTTCGACCAGTTCTTCCCATTCAAATGTATTCATATGTTGGCGTCTGTATCGGCCGTCGATCTTTTCCATATTCCGTTTCCGCCGGTGGAGAGGGCAGAGAAGTGTATGGGCAGCTTGTGAGAAATTCCAGTACACAAGAAAAAGTCCGGGTACGCCAAAGAGTAAAATATAGAAGTTTTATTAAAAAATTAATTTTCTCCTTTTACCAAATATGAAAAAGGTCAATGCGCCCATGCCAGGAAACTTAATGTCTTATAATTTACTTTATAGCCCCTTGCTCAATTCTTTATTTTTATTAAATTATTATTGTATTGGTTCACCTTTCTCTACTTAAATACTACTGCTCTTTATTTTGTGGTTACTTCCTATAAGTAATTGATGGTTACATGTACCATATGTATAAATTGAAAACATCTTATCTTATCATCATGACAAATGCTTGTTTTTCAGGATTTCTCCTAACTGGATGGATTTGAAAGAGAAGAAATCTGTATTTATGGTTATGGAGCTTAGCTAATCATACAAGCATTCCTGTAAGTTTTGGATTGTGTCACAAGCATAAAGGAGATAGGAAAGGAAGCAAAGAATTTGACCAGCTCTTATCATGACTGCCACTTAAATACCTCCAGGTCACTTCACTCAGTTAGGAACCTTCCCAAGGAAAAAATAATATTCTATTGCAACTCTTATATAGGCAGAGGAACCAATGTTCCCTAGATTGACCTCAAGATGGAGTACTCATCCTGCCAGATCACAAGTTCCTCTCTACAGAAGAATAGATTCCCCAGTTTTGTTTGAGTGAAAAGTCTGATTAAAAACAATAAATAATATGTTCTTATTTGTGGTTGTGCATGTTTCCACTGCTGCGTGTAGAGGCTTGCTTTATATCAACATAAACGTGTTTTATTGTCTTGCATCAATTGTGGATGTTGGTTGTTTCAGTAGCTTGGGCTCTCTCCGTGGCCCAGCTGCAGGCCATATTCTCTGGGCTCCATGGGTTGGCAAACACCCTGAGGTTTAGAGGAGCAGCCTGGCGAGAGACCGAGGGCTATCATTACAAAGGAAGTACACACACACACACATGAAATCCCAGAAGAACGTGTGTGCCAATCAACACATTCTCCTCCTGGACGTCACACACACTTCTCATGTCTCTTTTCACCTTGTGTTGCCACATGCACTGATGTCTTACATACAGTATTTGCACATGCCAAAACACACACAAAAAGACACACACTTTACTCCATTTTATTGGTCTCGCCACAGACAAGTTAAGTCTGAAGCATATTTTCTTTCAAAACATCACTTCTTGTAGTGTGCAATTACGAGGGGTCATCATAACATTCGTAGATGTCGTTGAACTCTCAGCATCAACAATTTGAATATTCTGGAGCACCACTCTGCATCCATCCAGCTTCACTTCTACACGCTACCAAAGGTATTCAAATGAATTTCAGCCCTCAGTGTGGCGGAGAAGCCTGACCTTGCACTGAGGTTGTTATGGTTGAGTAAATGTCCTCTCTTGTCTTGGCAGGCAAACGCTCGGCAGTTTATTCTTTTGTATTCTTCCATTTGGTGGATGTTTTTACCCAAGCTGCCTCAGTGTACTGTGAGCGCATGCATTTTTAGCATAGGTGGTCCCGCTAGTAATCAAACCCTCTACCTTGGCAGCGGTTGTGTTGTGCTCTGCCCGTCAAACTCTACAGTACTGTGTCAGATAAGAATAAAGCAAATACAGGGAGATGACAATGTGATTGCTGAATCAGATAACTGAAGTAAACTCTGTAATAGAGAAAAAAACAACCCTCATTGGATCATCTTGTGCTGTCGGAGAAGTTTTTTGATGTAGTTTAACCTTTATTCTAGGTTACTTTAGTTTTGCTTCCCACAATTGCTTTCTTTAAAATTCTCAGACTGGCTCTTTCCATTGTCTGCCCATTCCTCATTATGTTTTCTTTCCTCTTTTTTATTTTGTTTGATTCAAGATTTGCTTTATTGTCCCACCTTGCAGTAAATTTGGATTGGGCATACAACCATGCTGCATCCATAAGAAGCATTTCACATATATATATATATATATATATATATATATATATATATATATATAGACAAGGTTAAGACCTTTACAGGGAACAAGAAACTATCTAAGAACATTATAATAAAACATACAGGGGTGTCCTTATCATACATTGTGTATGTGCATTCCTGATTTGTATTGTATGCTGCTGTATTGTATTTTGTATTGTATTTCCATTTGCTAAGATCTGTCATGACCTGTAAACCTGCCTATGTTTACAGCCATGCTAGCAGTTCTGTGGTGCTTTGCTCTAAAAACTAGTGCCACAAATCTAACATGCTCAATAACAATAGCATGCTGCATATTAATAGCATATTTAGAAATATAATGTTTCCCAATGTAACATCATTAGTTTTGTGTGTCAGCAGACTTTAAAATCAAAGTATTGTATAAATTAAACTGATTTAGCTACATGATACAATAGTGAAGGGATACCAAAGTTATTGAGGTGTTTAAACAGACAGCTAACAGTTACCGTTGGACTGTTGGAAAGTGTATTTGCCCCAAACAGCCGACTGAATTGATGTTAGCTGTAAGATAGCTACGAACGTGCTGACCATTTTGTTAGCGAACCGTGACCGTTTTTGTTCTTCCTGTTATTTTCCACAAATCTCTCCATTTCCTTCTCAACTTTTGTACTTTTATGAAGTACATTCATCCCCACCGCTGTGGCTAAAACACACTGCTGTACTTTTAATTTTCAACTTGTCATTTATATCTACCTCAGTTTGTGATTTCTAAGGTTAATAACTGTACCTTTGATTCTCTTTTGTTTTATTTCCCCCTATTTCTTCTTATTTCCATTGTTTCTTTTCCAGACTAGACACCTAACTATATTTTGAATGACAAAATATTATCCTTAGGAAAAAGAAAATACACCATGAGCCACTGTGCTTAATTGTTTTACTGTGTTTTTTCCTTAAGGGTTGATGCAGGTAAATGATAATAGCCTTTCCAACCGTGATTTACAGTTCTATTTCCCAGGAATTCAAAGGAGTGTTTTGGCAATAACGTGTGGCATGTGTCATGGACCACAAATGGGTTAACTACCAAACTGGTTTGGACAGCACTGTGGTTCCTCTGGCATTTTGTGCTCAACTAAATAGATCAGCAATGATGATCTTCTCATCACTGATGTTACCCAATGTATGAGTCATATTCATCTTCAGACCCGCAGTATTTGGGGTTTCACATTTTGTTTTCCATTGATGAAATGAAAGAAAGTCCTTCCTCAAAGCAGTGTGAACTCAGGACACCTTTCTTTACCACTGAACTTGAGGTTAATGGTAAATCTCCTCACAGGGCAGACAGTACGCTGTTGGGTGACACAGCCACTGCATTAACCTGGCTGCCCCAAGTCGTTTTAAAGACGGGGTTAATGTTTGATTCAGCTGGAGAAAAGAACATTGCGTGGGCACGACAGAGCTACCTACAGAGTATAAAAAAAGGAAAGGCTATTCAGAGGACAGCTGAATCCCCTAAAAGGTCATTTCAGAGCACTTCCATTGCGCTGTTGCATTCAAGGATCCCCACCTTTCCTTTCTGGGCTGAACAGGAGAATCTTCCATTAAATATGAACAGCTTAGGTAGAAATCCCCTACCACAAAATGATTGAAAGGGTAAATTAAACCAAATTAGTGTATTTTATGAAAGAAAATGTTTTGGTCTACAAAATAAACATTTTTCAGACTTGGTAAACATTTATTTTAGAGAAACACAGTGGAAAGACCTCTGTTGTACCATTTTCCCCAAAGTGGATAAACCCCCGGAGTATTTTGGAATAGATGACTTTTCACATTTATGGTTTGTAATTTCTTTGGGTTTCAGCTTGTGAGCTCCAGATCAGATAAGATGATTATTCAAAATTGTCCCATCAGTCATTGCGGCCCTGGAGCCAAAAAACAGGTGAATGACATCACGGTTATTAGGGCATATTAGAGCAGCTTGCCGTGCCAAGACACACACACAAGCACTAAAACACACACACAGACGTTTTGCTATGGGACAGTGAAGCACTGTCTCTAGATCTAGATCAAGAGTTAGATTTAACCATTAAGCATTCAAATGCCTCTACTCATAGGGGCAACTGCTACACACTACATTTTTTACCACACCAGCATCTGGGCGTGTAAGTGGTATCTTGTCTGACAGGGGAACAACTCTTTTTTTCAGAAATAATATACAGAATATGTGTGCCTGGTTAATCCTCACTAAGTGTGAGGACAATCTTATGCTGGTAGATGATCAATATTTTGTAATTTACATTTTTAGTGTATTCTTACTCTAAACCTCCAGCAAATTCTTTCTTGCATTTCCCAGAAATCAGCCCTCAACTTGCTTTCTGTCAAAGGTGTATGAATGTAATTTGGCACAAAAGTAATTATATACTGCTTAACTGTTGTTGGCAGCCAACTACTTTTTTAATCAGTGTGTCTGTGATGTCAACCATTTCTTATATGGTGATAAATGTCCCCGTGCATGACAGAATTTTAAGCTCAGTGATCGGATGTTAACTTCTCTCCCCAAAGTCTTTTATGTTCACAGGTTTGTAATTTCGACTTTTTATCAAATAACCAGGGATTTTCTAATGCAGTTCTTAATTTTTTGGACTGATTTGACCGGCACAGTTTTAAGCACAAATAATGCGAAGATGTTTCTTCTGCCTGATGTTACTCTTTATTGTTTGAAAAAAATGTCAGCTCAGAAATGTGATAAACTTGATGTGTGAGAATATAACTTTAAAATTTTGTTATATCAGCAGCTGCAGCAGAGAAGAAGCTGCTGGCGTGTCTCTCTCTGTCTGTTCACCTGTTCATCTGTCTGTCTGAAGCTGCTGGTGTGTCTGTGGCTGCAGGAGGGCAGCGGTTTGTGAACAGTAGCTACAACAATGCACAATAATGCACTAACATTAAGGGTGATATCATTATTTAAAAGTACAATATGTATTAAATAGTTTTAATGATTTGAAGGTAAAACTATTCGTTAACTATTATTATAACAATTAAAAAATACAACATTTGCCCTATTTTGCATGACCCCTTGTTATGACCCTGGGGTCATATTCTGTTATTTATCTCTCTCCCTGCACTGTCAGCTGTTCTCCTCCCTTAGAGTGTCTGTGTGTGTGTGTGTGTGTGTGTGTGTGTGTGTGTGTGTGTGTGTGTGTGTGTGTGTGTCATTTGTTCTGGCATTGCTTGGGAATGGGAAGAGTGGGAAGCCACACCTTTATGTCCAGGATACCCCTAGACCTTGGGACATAACACCCCTGTATAAACCTCGTACACATCCGGTCTTCTATCTGAATACAGAGATAGAGCCTGATAATTTACAAACTCATTTAATGTCTCTCTAACGTCTCTTTTACCTCTCTAGTGTGTTCTGTCGCCCTACTCTGGTTTGTCAAGATTGTGCCTGTAGACTGCAGCGCCCAGCTCACCATTCCTTCTGTATGTCCCCACTGTCAGCGGCATCTCTCAGGTCCCTGAGGACCCCACACACTTTTCACCATGCATCATACTCAAAGATCCAGAGCATTGAGCTGCTGCTCAATAAGTCAGTCAACAGGCGGCACAGATGGTGAGGTATCGACACCTCTCAGCTCCAGATGGGTTTTTAGTTAGAAAGCAACAAGGGACTGAATGACTTATTGCCTTTCGCGAACATTTCCTAGATTTTACACAATGGCTCTGATTCAGTGTTAGTCTATATGTGTATGTTACATGTTAAATGCCCTTGTATGTTGCTGAGAGGAGAAGCACTAC